ATACCCCATGCAACCGGCGGAGCCGGTGGGGCCGATGGGGATGCGGCAAGCTCGACCCGTCCGACTAAAGTGTAACCTTTGTATAGTAGATTTGTGAATCATTAAGCGTCATAAATGAACAAAATATGTGGCAATCGAATAATTGCCTAGCCTGGCTGTAGGGTAGGGCTAATTCTAGTTAAATTACTTTTATTTCGTCCGATCATACTCTATAGATGAAGTCCAAATAGCGGGCGCCAACAGAGTAGTACTGTTGAACGTCGGTGTCCGAGCCGCCTTCGTGTCTGCAGAACTGGGTCTAGCTGGGAGGAAACCAGCGGACAGAGTTCTTGATTGTAAACCTCGAATCTGCCCTTTAAGTCATGTCATGTTCAATCGAGACTGAAGTAGATGTGGTGTATCATTATTTAACATGAGTAGTAACCCTTGAAAGATATTGTTTGCGGTTACGTTTACTCGTTGCACATCATACGGGTTCAAAACAGACACTTGATTGGCATAAAGACATACTCATAGAATTCATAAAGAGCGTTTCAAATAGGACAAGAAGCTGGCGCCATTGACCTCTTGCCTCTTAACAGATCGTAAACTCATGAAAAACATTTGCAACACAGACGTCAAACCTCGGGCATGCCCTCAATTACAACCAGGCCCCATTCAATACCACCCATACCACCACGAGATCATTCTCCTAGACACTGTAGTATACCATGGGGAGTTCCTCTGACTCAGAGCATATATCAGATCTTGCTCAAGCTTTTCCGGGGCAAACGACGTGTCTGGTTCCACCGTAGTTGTTATCCCAGCAGTCCTTCCCATCACCACCTCCACTCTGGGCAGTGCACTGTGATTAAGAAAAAATTGTCAGCAAAGTTAACAAAAAATGAGGATGAAAAGTTCATGGATATGGTAGGTAGGTAGGGCCCGACTGAACGAAACTGGGTGTTTATAACATACACTGCCCTCATCACAGGGACTATATAGGAACCACTACTGTCAGTGTGTACTCTTCGTTCACGAGTATTTTTCATGAAAGATGCAATCTCGGTGGTGAAACTCACTAGTTGTTGAATCCGATTTGGCAGCTGGTGCCATTGCAGCCCTGTCAATGGACATCAATATCTGCAGCTCGATATCTGAAGCAAGAGGGCAATAAGAAATCTTGAATATAAAACTCACTCCGCAGTTAATCTTGTCGCCAGATGGGCAGCTTTTCTCGCTTGCTGCATTGTCTGCAGGTGCAGGAGCGGCGAGGGCAGCCAGAGGGCCAGCGGCGAGGGCAGCAAAGATAAGAGTAACGAAGCGCATGTTGATGGATGTTATGAAGTGAGATATATGAGTTAGGTGGTAAGGATTCGTTGGATTATTGAGGTAGTCGTCGTCAAGGCTTGAAGACTTGAGTTGGAATTGGAGCTTGATGGCCGGAATGATGGCTGCATTTATAGATTTTGGGACTCTTCTTGCTACTGTGATAAGACTGTCTTCCCAATTCAGAGAAAAGTGTAGCATCCTGGTCAGCATGCCCCATGACTGCTTCTGATCGACACACATATGACTAGGCTGTGTCTTTCTTCCCTCCAAGGTGTCAGGGTTAAGGCGTCCAATATCACCCGCTAAACTCACTCAGTGCATTGATTATTATCAGCTCTGGATAGTGCGGTTGCCTGTCAAGGTACCTCGTACGTCTAATATTGACGTTCTTCATGGTCATGAGCTAATAGGAAAGCAGAATTTAGCCATCCTCGACCACTATAGCGGTGGCTCAGACACTGTCAGCATATAGCAAATGGGCTGGGCATATGAGGCTCATTTGGGTTTCTCATATGCGAGTCAGTATACAAACTCAATTCATTTTACATTATCAAAATCTTCAAGTGTCGGGCGGGAACTGCACCCCGAAGTATACCCCGGCATGCCTTTTTCGTACTGACAGATTATGAGGTTGGGACTGCTTGGCTTTGAGACGTGGCTTCTATCGTGATATCCGAGCCAGGCACCGCACCAAGAATGTATCCACCCCCTTCATGCTAGCTATGCGCTTTACTGCTAATGATGATGACTATAAATCATTCACATCAAGTTCAAAGAGACCATCAAGGTGCGTATTAGTATCAGTCAAACAAAGGCTTTTCCTTAAAAGAATAGTAATGAAGACACACCTCCACTACGCCATAACTATCCGTAAGAAATTCAGGCAATATAGCACACTGCTGATAATTTCCTGAGGATCATTCTCTATGTGCGATCATCGTCACAATCGGAATGCCACGGGTATGCGGCATATTCGTGCCCACCATGTGAGAATACCCCTCGTACATGGAGTATATAAAATACGACTTCTTACTCGTCAATAAGAAGGCTCAGCACTAGCTATGAGATTTGGAATTTGCTGGTGCAGAAGAGCGACATTAGTTGATATCGTGTTATTGCCTCGGGCATCCGATACTATACGTTAGCTTCTTTTCATCCACAGAAAGTACTTTGCCTATGCCCTACTAGACCATCGATGCTGTCAAATAGTAGCTTATGGTAGACCTTTGATAATGAAATAAAGTCGTAATTACCAAAGACCACCACCAGTACCAAGAGAAGCAACGTCATCGTTATGCAGCAAACTTGAACAAGTGGCCGATCAACGTTGTCACCTACCCGATTTGCCCTTCAGCCTCGTGCAAGTCATAGCTCCGGAAGCAACAAATGAGCTCATTAAGGCACAACTGCAGGGTCCACCAAGGTATCTGATCGTCGTGCGGGGAGGGGTTTGAGGCTGAGGAAGGCACACAAGAGAGAATAACTCCAATTCCGCACGGCACTTTGAGCGCTGTATGGCCACTCGGCATTTGGTCACGACCCATAGTAATCGCATCGATTATTGATTGCCTAACTAACTACACTTTCCATGCAGGGTTAACGGCCCGGACCCGGACGCCTCGGACGCCTCTCGGAGGTCCGGAATGCAACCTGATTGCACCGTTTTTGGGTACCTCCTGGTGTGCTTATAGCTAGTGTTTACTAGAATGGATTCATCACTAGTCGCACGGGTAGCAAGTGACCCTATGATACGCTGTGTCCCTCTCTTCTGCGTCCAAAGGGTCATCGGGACTGCTTCTTTGGGTTACCTCGACAGTTCAAGGTTAGTAAAATTTATCAGATTATGCTGCAGCTCAGGGTCCAGCACAACCTTAAGCTTGCCAAGTTTAACATGACATCTGGCCTTAGGATAGTCGTTGTAGTGCAACCTTGCAGCCATAAGACAGACATTTGCGACAAGAACCTACTTATCTTCCTATCGTAGGGACTTTTCACTGTTGGCTCGGCATTTGCTACGCCTACCAATGAAGCTAATGGTCATACTGAATACAGCTTACGATTGTAACTGAGAATTCAGCCTCACTCCAAATGTGCCAAGACTGCAGTTCGAGCGGGGTAATGACACCTGTGTTAGACCTAAGAATGGCGGCTACACGGATTCACAGCCACCAAAATGACAAATACAAACTGGTATTGCTGAATTTCCAGGTCGCATTAATGAGATACTCTGTGTGGAAGTGATCCCGACCATATGGAAGGAATGGGGTGGGGGAGGGCTCTAAAGGAGGTCCTTAAGACAAGCTATACGGTTGACGATGAGCTGTCCACATGCTACAAGACGAATATGGATTGAATCTAGCACAATAAAAGGTAATTGAAAAAAGAAAAAAACAAAGAGGCAGGCTTTTCCTTAATGATGAACCCGCTGATGGACCCATGATTAAGAAGACAACTCTGGTCATACATCGCACGGAACTGGGTATTGTAGTAAGGCAAATAGGCATCGATAAGAAATTCATATGTTCATATGTCAACCGAGGATACAACCCATCACCAGGCATAAAATGGATCGCTGACCCCCTTCTTCAATTGTTGGAGGGCGATGAATGCACCAGTTACATAAGAAATCCAAACTGATCGACAACTAGGTCGGGTTAGCTTCCCAATTCGGACGATAGAGTAAACTTATAACAAATCACTGCTGCAGATATTGAACGCATAAGTCTCTCATTATGCTCTTGCAAATCAAGTATCCTATCCTATCAGATGATGGAAATCGCGGCTTGGGAGGCGGCATAATACCATGGGAGTCGGACGGAAGTTTCTGTCCGCTATAGACACGAACAACATATATGAGGGGAAGACAGTGTCGGTTTCTGTGCTGTACCCGAATAAAGTACATCTTGATTTCTCATCTACCACATCCATTCCCATATGAAACAAATATAGTAAACACTACTACACATTTTCGCACGTAGGACCAAATCGGAGGCGGGTGCGGCTCAAAGTGCCTTGGTAGCGGTCTCCCACTCCTCCCCAAGCAAAACAGACGGCCAGCCATTCTATTCCTGGAAGGCTTTCTGAATCTAGGGCGTTGAGCGAGTTCTGAACCTAGTATATCACTTGAATGTGCAAATTGGAGATCAAAGCGTGAGAAAATAGAAAGAAGGTGATGTAATTTTCTTCATAGCGCTTATCGCAGGTCCTCTCTGTAGAGTGAAAGACGGACTAAACGTTTCGCATATATCAAAGTGAATCCCTAGAGAATAGTCACTGCGATGGTCTGATACGGTAAAACAAAGGTCAATCAGCAGCCCTGGGCTTGTTAATCCTTGCAATCAATAGTAAGCAGCAGATTCACCATAGATACTTGTTTTGAATCTCGCGGTCTATATAAAGCACTCTTCTTCCTCATCGCTCCTCCTTCTCTTTCTCTTCCTATCCTCTCCATCTACCTTGGCCTTCGTGCTCATGCCTCAAGAAAAGTAGTAGCAGTTATCGTTCCAGATAGCCTAATATAGTAATCATTTATTTAATGAAGACTTACATGCTATTTATATCATTATTTCCACAAATGTGTGATTAATTATATTTCTTCCTTGTTAGGAAATCTCAGTGTTAGACTGAGCATCTTCTATTGTCATACCCTTTTCATAAAAGGTTGCGTATGAGCATGTCTGCTGCCCAACATGAAGACTGCGTACCCTGAATTGGGAATGCTGGGGGGTGGGGGGCGGAACTCATCGAGCAACTTTGATCGCGCGTCCGCTGCGTACCTATGGCTTGCCGACACCGAACGTCTCGAATCATTGATTCGAAGATCTGATGCCAAACTACTGGTATGCTACCAGTCACTCTAGTATCATGCTATGTCAGATTCAATGCTAAATTCAGTAAAGTGCAAAGAAAGGGACGACGATGGGTGGTTGATAACTAGAGCTGGAGAGAGGCAGTGTCAGGTCCCAATGCGACAGAGACTTGTACCAGTTTGGTGGCGCTGTGGTCAAGCGTACATGGCTTGTGGGAGGGAGCGTGTTTTGCGATAAAGCCACTTGATCTTAGCGACGACCAGAGGAAGCTGGGAGTCGAATCGCGTAACTTCAGCGTCTATTCGAAGTGGCGATGTTATCACCTTCACGACAAACGATCCCGAAAAACTAACCCTCCCCTCGGTTGATATTTTATGGATGCAGTGGAACTTGACCAGGGCGTTGGCTCTATGTGGTGCTGGAGAAGCGCCTGAAGACTTGTACACTGATCATAACAAAGTGGAAGGAAAAGAAGACGTCCTGGTACGACAAGAAGAGGAGGACGAGGAGAATGAGAGGGTTCAGGAAGAAGGAGATTTCGTAGAGGTTCTACCTTGCGGCACTACGCCTAGACAAACTCGCCGGGCTGGGGAGAATCGCTCGCCTAGGGATGTTAAACATAACGGAGCAAGGGCTGGCACTCCGTCCGCGAACAAATGTGCAGTAGTTTACTTTCTCGGTTGCTCCATTGCATTGTAAGTAATCAACAGATTAATTTCGTCTTCTGGCCTAGTATTTGAGTCATTCTCAGGCAAGTAGTGTACGCTTAGTAGTTCAATCCTGGAAGAACGTACCCCTGCTATACGCGAGCTTGGATTCTCCTCAACGCTTGCACTACTAGAGGTGTACTTAGGCTTAAATGGATGGTTGTGGTACTACGTCAAGCATTATGCCGCCCGTGCGAGGTCTCTTTAAACATGTAAGATGGCACTGCTCAAGACCTCTCCTGCTAAGGAAGACGCGCTTCGGATAGACTACGCGGCTCGAATGACGTTCACTACTACGGATCTTGAACAACGTGCGCTTGAAGATCTACAACCAGAATTCTTTTTTGGTCAAGTGTCTGGTCTACTTCAATTCTTCTATCCGTTGTATGTCGATCTCAACGCTTGCTACAAAGGCTACGGGACCATGATCTACCATTTTAACTACCCACACGAAGACCTAACGAAGCCACCCTCGTGTACGCAGGTTGAAATTATCATGTTCCTAAGCAGAACCTTGGACCCCACAGAACGGAACTACTGGCTGACTGAATTAGAAGTCTTCTGCCTTGTTTGGATACTTTGCAAGATTTGCCTTATAATACACGCTGCTAAATATGAGCTGCTACCTATTGTGTATACCGACCATGTCTCTATTACGCTGTAGGCAGAATATGATGAAGTAGTTGATTGTAGAACGAGGGGAGCCCGCAGCTATCTAGACTAACTATAGTTCTACCCACGGTATGGTTTAACCAGCGGCAGCGCAACAGTCTCTGCCGTCGGTCTAGCCACATAAACGTCATTCAACACGTCTGCCCTGGAACAGCTCAATCTTCGGTTGACGAGGGTCTCCCACTTTATTCAGGAGCACCGTATACGTGCCTATTACCAGGCAGGCAAAGCCATCATCGTGGCCGACTCCTCTGTGGAGTTGACAAACTCTAGGGCTTGTGGGGTCTCCGCATCTCGGAGATGCCCCCGTGTGGGGCAAATCCTTTCCCTTTTGTAAAAGATGACCAAAGCTTTCGGTGTATAGCAGGTTAGACCAAAAAACCATGGTATAAAACCCACGTTCTGTCATCTCCAAAGCGAGGCCTTTCAGACGCAGACACATAATCTTCCCTATCTCACTTTATCTTGCTGACGTTCCCATAATGAGGAACCCTTTTTCTCGTTCATCAGGGAATGGTGATGATGCACCCTCAAAAATATACGGTTATCGAGTTTACATCGTGGCTCTCTCGGCCGCCTGGGTAGGAATGGCGAAACAAAACGTTCTGGGTGCCATCCTGCTGACATGAATTTCTCCCAGGCCTCGGCGATGTACGGCTACGACTCGGCTTTTATTGGAGGGACACTAGAGCTTCCAGCGTTCAAGACTTCTTTTGGTATAGACGGGAATAACTCAACCACTCTCTCATCCAACGTAGTGTCGATGTTTCAAGCGGGTGCATTCTTCGGTGCCATTTTTGGGTTCTTCTTCGCCGAGTATTTTGGTCGGAAGCCCGTCATTCTCGGATCGGGTGTTGTCTTTACCATCGGATCAGGCCTCCAACTCGTGGGACGTATCGATGAGCTCTACGCCGGACGGGTGTTGACAGGACTAGGAGTCGGGTAAGCGTATCTCCTTACTTAGGTATGAGGTTGACGACCAACCCTTTGAAAGCGCATCCTCCACCATGATTCCTGTTTACATCTCCGAATGCTCTCCAGCCCTCGTCCGCGGGCGCCTCGTCGGTTGCTTCGAGATCATGCTGCAGGTGGCTCTTGTCTTCGGTTTCTGGGTTAACTACGGCGTCGACAAGAATATACCGAGCACAACTTCTGCCCAATGGAGAATCCCCGTCGGCATCCAGATGATTCCAGCTGGACTGCTATTGATCTGTATGTCATGGATGATAGAAAGTCCACGTTGGCTTGCTAGCAAGAATCGAATCGTCCAAGCACAGAAAAACCTCGCTTGGGTCCGCAATCTTCCATTCGACCACCCCTACGTGGTCAATGAGTTGGCCGAAATCCAGGCTGCTGTCAACCAAGAACTTGAGATGAGTGGTGGAAGACGGACACTGTCACACATTGTGCGTGAATGTGCTACCCCCGGTGTCCGGGATCGAATCTTGATTGGAATGATGCTGATGCTGCTACAAAATCTTACTGGGTATATTCCTCCTCTCCTTACGATATTTTGTAACGGTGTCTGACTTTTCCTCAAGGATCAATTCTATCAACTACTACAGTCCAACCATTTTCCGCTCGGTAGGATACTGAAACTCCAGACGGTGACTATGGTGTTTGAGAGAAGGCGCTGACGTTTTACTCATTTTCAGATTGGATTCACTGGAACCTCCGTCGGACTTCTAGCGACCGGAGTCTATGGCCTAGTAAAAATGTGCACAACAATGGTATTCATGATCTGGATCGTGGATCGGTTCGGACGTCGCGGTCCCTTACTAGTTGGCGCGATCGGCGCAGCAGTAGCAATGTTTTACCTGGCCATATATTCCCAGCTAAGTCAATCCTTCGACCAAGTTCCACCTAGCGACTCTGGGTCACGAACGGCGGTCGCAATGATCTACATTTATGCAATTTTCTACGGGTTCTCCTGGAACGGCATTCCCTGGATATTTGCATCGGAAGTCCTTCCAACTCGTGTGCGGACTATCGGGATGATGTGTGCTGTGTGCATGCAGTGGTTGGCTCAATTCATTATCGTCTACTCGCTGCCTTACATGATTGCCTCTATCAAATACGGCACGTTCTATTTCTTTGGAGCATGTACTATCGTTGCTTTGGTCTTTGCGTACTTCTTTGTTCCGGAAACGAAGGGGGTTCCTTTGGAGGATATGGGCATCTTATTTGGGGCAGATGTTAGTGTCTTTGCTACGAAAGCCCGAAAGAATTATCTGGAATTTCGACAGGCGGAGTCGAGGGTGGCTGCTGAAGCTCGGTTGGAGAAGCAGACTAGTTCTACCCATGTGGAAAATGTGTGAAGGAAAGTCAAGGTCTATACTTTGGATGGTGGAGAGAGATGTATTCATATGAAAAGCCGCCAGCAATGAAAGGATATATCTTCCAAAATACTTCAATCTAAATTAAGAATTCTGTTGTCCGACAACTCTTCCAGTAGCTATCGTTCTTCTCCAGTTTCCCTGCATATGTTCGCACCGGGAAGTCTGTATCAGTGTCTGGCTCTTTCGAACAAGCCATACTCGAGCAAGCTCTACGATATACTTTTTTTTCTTCTTTTCCTCGCGGGGCTGGGGGTGGCTATCCTCCCGGCGACAATGCCCCTTGACACAACGTCGGTAACGGCTCCGAAGCTGCTCCGAAAAAGTAGACGTTTCGGGCACTCCTCCGAACTTCCCCTCACCTCGGACTTCCTGCATTATCTCACTCGAAGGAGTGGCTCGCTAAGCCACTCATGCATGTTATTAGATAATCCTATAACTTGAGTGAGGGAAAGAAATCTCATCGAAAAAAAGGCCTCCGCAATCTGTCATAGAGCTCATTTTGATATCTGTACTGTCGAACCTGCCGAACATGGATTCGACCATGCCCCGATCTCTATCTCCTCAGGAACCGATCCCAAACCGCCTACAGGGCCTAGTAGCCCTTATAACCGGAGCTGCAGGGAACATCGGCCTGGAATCTGCTCGGCGATATCTTCTAGAAGGCGCCAAAGTTGTGCTGGTCGACATCAGCTCACAGGGACTGGCTCAGTCAAAAGAAGAGCTGATAAAAGCGATCGCAGATTTGCCAGATGGGAAGAGCCTGAATGGGAATGATTTGATTCTTACCGTTCAAGCCGATGTCACATCTGAAGGCGATGTTGAGCGATATGTTAATGAGACTATTCGGAAATTCGGGAAGCTTGATGTTGCGCTTCTTTGTGCGGGCATATCGTATTCGTCGACGAGTATTCTGGATACTGATGTTGAACAATATGATAAGGTAATGCAAGTGAATTGTCGGTCCGGTGAGTACTTCTCTTGCAGTTAGTCTGGAACATTTTAGAATGAGCAGCTAAGACTATGACTTATAGCCTTCCTGGGCGTTAAACACTGCGGACGGGCAATGCGAGACTCCGGCAACGGAGGCAGTATTATCCTGGTCTCTTCAATTGCTGGTCTTCGCGCAACACCCGGTCTATCAGCATATTCTACTTCCAAGTTTGCCCTTCGTGGTCTATGCATCACTGCAGCTGCAGAGCTGGGCCAGTATAACATTCGTGTTAACACGGTCCATCCGTGCGGTGTCAATACACCTATGTTCCTCGCTTCGTGGCCCGAGGAGAAGATGAAAAGTATGCTGGCTAGTGTTCCTCTGGGTCGGTGGGCGGAGGTTGCAGATGTTGCGGCGTTGGTATCGTTCCTGGGGAGTGCGGATGCTCGGTTCATGACAGGGGGAGCCTTGAAGATCGACGGCGGTATTGTGATGTTTTAGTAAATGGAAGAGATAGTATACTTTATGAGACAAATGTTGTTTTCGTTTGTAACAAAAAGTCACTTAGACAGAAGCACCTTAATGGCCAAGATCTATCTCACTGGCTTGCATGTCTTCTAGGAAACAACACCTATTGTTATCGACTTTAGTAAGTGGTACTTCCCAAAACGGAGGTCAGCTTTCGCATAGACTCTACGGCTCGGCCGACATTGTCACTCGGACGCCTCGATTCATCCCTCATTCGCCAATCAAATATTTCAATCGAAACCACACCTTTCCACCCTTTCCTATTCAGCCACGCGTGAGCGATTACTGCAACAGGAAAGTAAGCCCCTAAATCCTCCTCAAGGGGGAACGGGCGCATGTTGCGCGACCAAGACAAAGCTGGAGGAAAATCTTCCCGATAGAAGTGGTGTCCCGGCTGCAATGAAGGGACAAATTTCTCTGCATCGGAAAGCTGTACATAGAATATTTTGCCCGACGGGCAAGTCTCAACGAATCTATCAAGCGATTGCCGCAGAGCCAAATCGGCATCTTCGCGAATACCACTCTCGACCATATTATCTCCCCACACCCGAGCAGCTACATGAAAAGAATCCAGGCAAAGACCAAAGTTTTCGCGGTTCACGTCTTGGGCCATCCGGAGCGATTCCTCCCAGGTATCGATATAGGTACCCCAAGCCACAGCCTCGTAGGCAATGCCAACGGAGTATGAAGCCGCTAAGTCGCTTAGCGCCTGAAGATCTTCCACCATCCGTGTCCAATCTCCCGAGCTGTTCCCGGTATCAAACTGGGAGGGCACTTGCAGGTACTTAGCCTTCAAGCAGGCGGCGATTTCGAGCCAATTCCGCGCACGATCAAGTCGCTCTTCCAGGGGCGAGTTATGCCCCTCAAAGTTCTTGAAGGGGCTCAAGGATAATACACTAAGATTCGCGGACAAGCATAGACGGGAGATGGTTCTAGCAGCATCGTGTATGCTCACGGGTGGAGTCTGGGAGAGCGCGTAGTCTTCGAGCTCTTGGTAGACGATTTCGATTGCAAAAAACGAGGCGGACGCTGCAGCTCGGATCTTTTCTGTTAGGCTGTGGGAGGGATGGAGACCCAGAGAAGATGTAGTGATTGCGAGGGGGTTGTAAAACATGGTCAATCAATATCTAGAAAGTTCATATAGTGTTCTCGTCCCGATTAACGCGCTTTAAGAATGGGGGAAACAACTGATGATATCATTTACTACATCCATTATCTTTACGTTTTATATTGCACTCCACGATGTTCTAGTGGTAGTAATATATCAATATAAAAAAAATAATAATAAAAAAAATCCTTTTGTATTGCATTACATAGGTGGCCAACCCGGGCGGGTGACCGACCAAGGCTCCGGGGGTGTCTCGGTCACCCCCGATGAATCCCCACATAAAACCCCACCTTTCGGACGAGGTCTCCGATGCTCTCCGGAGGCAGACAACACTTACCCAATGCCCTGATTCTCTCTGCAAGTATCTGTCCTTTCTCTGTTAGTCCACATCTATAACGATTAACCCGGCCCAACTTTTATTCGACGAGGTGATCCGATCACGCGTTCGGTCGGATGACGCGCTGGATATTGTGGCTCGTGCCTTCCGTTGAATAATGTCCCAACCCGGCGCAGAGTCTTCATCTACGCGGATGAGCAGCAAAGAGAAGCCAAAGGCTGTGTCAGCGTGCGTTTATCTGACTTATATTCCGTATATTTAACTAAATGGGTCTATAGATGTAATACATGTAGAAAGAAGAAGGTCAAATGCTCTGGTCAATATCCATGCGTTTATTGCACACGTCGAGAGTTGGAATGCACCTTCCCAGTGGTAGAAGATAGACGGCTGATCACTGAGGCGTAGGCTTTCCCAGAGTGCTGTTCAATAAGAATTCTCAGAACTTCTAACATACCATGCACAGGAAGGTCCGAGAACTTCAGGCACGCCTCGCTTTGTACGAGCATCAGGCCCACGATGGCGGGCGTGTAGATACACAGAGGTCAACGGCAACATCAGCGTCAGACAAAACCCAAACAGAGAATGTGGATACAGCACCGCGTTTCAATGCGCCAGTAAATGAAGTAATACGGACACCGGTGGCATCATCTGTGTCCAACATGACATCGAGAACCGAGGTTCCTCCACATCAAATGGAAACCCATTTTACCCTTGGATCGAGCCAGAACTTCGGGAGCCGGGTACAGGATCTTCTTGAGCGGCAAAAAGATTACTCTTCACGAAATCCGTGCACGCCTCAGGGGAGAACTCCACGATTCATTCCAAGCACGGAAGGGCTATTTCCAAAGCGACGTATTCCTCTCAACCCACGCCAGGGTCAAGAGACGAGCACGGCTGCTAACCTGAGGTTTCCTTCAGTGGAGAAAGCGCATCAACTTCTGGACACTGTTCTTTTATACCTTGGCGATGCCCAGCATTTCTTCGATGCTCGAGACCTTTCAGACCAGCTGATGGTATTCTACAGAAACAGCTTCGACGAGATACAACGAACCAGCATCTGGTATCTCCACATTCTCTTAGTGTTTGCGATTGGGAAACTTCTGCGAGGAGAGTTGGATGGGACGACAGACCCACCGGGCTTTGCCCTATTCAAGGAGGCTTTAAGATTGTTGCCTAACATTAGCGAACTACGGGCCCATGGCGTCGCTGGAATTGAGATTTTGGCACTCATAGCAGTGTATTACCAAAATATTGATCGTAAGGACGACGCTGCTTCACATGTACGAGACATGTACTACCTCCATGCAATCCAATATCCGAGCTAATCTGAGACAGGTTGGCCTTGCTTTCCGATTGGCTCTACTGCACAAGCTATATCGAAAGTCCACGCTCGATCAACTACATCCATCACAAGCGACACATGCGAACCGTATCTGGTGGACTGTTCAGATGCACGATAAGCGTCTCACCATAGCTACGGGATGTCCATTGAGCCTCGACGATAAAATGATCGCTTCTCCTCTCCCGACTGCCTCGCCCGGGTACTGTGATCCGCTAGCCATTCAATTGAATATCAAGATTGTGCAAATCCAAAGCCGAATATATTCTGGTTTGTTTACGACCGGGTTAATATGTCGTCGCAAAGGCTAAGTCCTCGAGTTCTAGTCATCTATAGTAATAAATCCTGCTCCGTGAACACGTTTTGCGACAATGTACGCGATATCATGTCATCACTTGATCAACTCGCGAAGGAAATTCCGCAATATCCCTTGCGCACCAACATATCAAGCCGGAACCCTTCGAAATTGGGGATACGAACAAGTATTTCACTCTTCACAATGCTCTATCAAGTAGGTTATTATTCATCTGATCAATAAAAAGATGACAATACACTTTACAGTAAGCTGACTCAATTAAATTAGGCGATAATCCTCACGTTGCGACCCGTTCTTCTTCATCTTGCCAAATTAATATTCGATCGCGAGACAACATTCAGCACAAGCAGCAGTGCACTACAGCACCTTGCTCGGACGTGCATAGAAGCCGCGAGTAAGAATCTGGAACTAATGAAAATTTTGGTAGATGAGGAAATCATTTGTAAGGAGCATCCAGAGATTGCTTACATGCAGAGCTAACTTTGGCAGCTGTATTCGGCTTCTTTGACCTCGATGCCATTTTCTCAGCGACATTTATTCTACTGCTGGCAGCCATCATCCGTTCTGCAGATACGAGCGACTCCGGTCATTTCCCTTTTCTCAGCTCCAGCCCCGGCATGAAAGAAGGCCTTCAGCTTCTCGACTACCTGGCAAGCTATCAGAACCATGCTGCTCGGGCGCGGAAAAATCAGATACAGAAGTTGCAGGAATGCTTACCGTCTTTTATGCAGGGAATCGGCTCTGTTGAGATGGCAAACGAAGCTGTAAGAACGCCCCAGTCTGTTTTAAACAATGTAAGTATTGGAATTTTGTGCGTAACCCTCTCGAGCAAATACTAAAACATATTAGGCTGGGGTTTCGCAGTATGATGATCTTATGCGAACGTATGTCACAGACACAGTTGGGGGGGAATTTGTTCCGGTAACATTGCCAGCCAACTTCTCGGATGATCCTCATGCCATATACTCCTTCTTTCACGACGAGGGCTTTGAATTGACTGGAGAGAACCAGGCAGACTTTGAAGAAGTGCAGCGGCACTTTCTGTGGCAGGCATAGAGCTATACATTGTATTAAGATTTCGCGTGCAGCCTAATGTCAAAAACCTCGCTCATCTGAACCACCAACCATCCCTCCAAAAGCACGTCAAAATGCCAGGGATTTTATTGAGAAAGAATGAACTTGAAGAGTCCTACCAGAAGTTTCTGCTCTAAGTGAATCAGATATCTCTAGTATTCGTAAAGCAGCTCACGGTTACGGTGTATCTAAGCGGACTATCCCACGCAGACCTATTTTAAATCTCTACACGCGTCGAACTACGCGCTAAGTGCTAGAGGTTAACTTTAAAACAATACCAATTGTTTTGCCCTTTTGCTTGAGACTTCTCAAAAATATAAATGTTGAAGAAAATGACTTGCAGTGAACAGGCTTCAAAAGTAAATCTTGCCTTCGCCCGATGGTTGTTAATCATCGCCGTACTTTACTTATCCCAGCACAGTTGCTGCTGTAATTAAATAACACGCTCCACGGTCCAGTTGTCCACTCCACCCTGTAGCTTCTCGCGGTCCTCAAAGAATGGCTTAAACACCGTTTGGATGATAGTATCGGGATGGTAGCCCTCGGTGTAGCCACCAGTTTCCGGGTCAACAATGCTTGCGCGGCTCAGTGGCATGCCGACCACAATCTGAGCCTCCTGCGGAAGCGCCTGGGCAAAGAGACGGCTGAGACTTTGTGATGCGGCCTTGGCAGCACACAATGAAGAGCAGGCAATCTGCGGCTCTCTGTCGAGCGTGCCACCGGTGACCAAGAATAGCGGCCACTCACCCTTGGAGATATTGTCGGTGTTGGCGTTGCGGGTGAACCATTGGCCTGCGACAAGGGTACCCACTGCAGAGACTTGGAGGTCGAGATTCAGCTCCTCCGGAGTGACTTTAGTGATGTGCGAGGGGGCGACACGAGCTGCATTGTAGTTCAAGACATCCAGCTTGCCACCAAACTGCTGAGCACACCAGTCCAAGGTGCTCTAGTACTTAGCCTCCACTTCGACCCATCCGAGCTTGGAGTTTGGGGAGGTACGTACGCACTTTCGGGAGAGTGAAGGATGACATCACGTACCAGCAAATACAGGGTGTCTCAGCGAGAAGCGAGAGCTTTCACTCGCAAACGGGCTGTGGCAGCATGCAGGGTCTGTCGCTCGCGAAAAATCAAATGCGACAATGCTCGTCCGACCTGCTCTTCGTGCCAGATCTCTGAGTCGCATTGCGTATATCAGGACCATGTAGATTTCTCAAAGTATGCTGAATCTCCCGTTAAAGTTCTATTTACTACACACACATGAATGCATGTGTTCACACACGTGTGTGGATCTACGTTTGCTACAACATGTTCACATACAACGCTTACTAGATTCGATCCCGCCACCATTGCAATTCTCGATCGCTTAACCGAAATCCAACAGTTTCTTAATTCCATGACTCCTGAAGGGGTGACGGCAGCCCTGCCTCTGAAAGGTCCGCTAAATCAGTACACGGCTGAATTTAGCCCAAAATTGCCACAGAATGTGTCCCTGAAGATCCCTGCAGCCAGGATATGTCCTGATGCAATTTTGTCGTGGCCGATTTTCCAAGAGGTTCGCTTGCAAACGACTTTAAATAGTCTCATTCTCGCGGACCACGATTATGGTCTCGAAGAAGTTGCCAACACCGATGTCAATTTGGCTCTCATACCAGATCTGATTGACCGCTTCCTGCAGTTTGTGCACGTTAAGAATCCCGTGGTGAATACGGTCGTCCTACGTCAATCGGCCGTCAGGGTCGAAGTGGGCGAGTCCTCTCGGAACGCTCATTCCTGTTTAGTGGTGAGTAAATGGATCCCCCCTCCCCAGAAGTGCTAGGCAATATAGACAGTCACCGTCACCTCCGATCTCAGAGCCACGCTAAGAATATGTATTTAAGTTCCTCGCCTGTGCCTTAGGCTGTTTAGCAGGTCCACTTCGATATGATGATCGCTCGGCAGAATGTGATGACCACGCTGAATCCCTTCATGCTACAGGAGAGCAGTTATATCAGAAAGCGTTGGAGAGGCTCTCCCTACCCGGCGATCGTATTTTGACCACGCAATGCTGGTTTCTTAGCGGTGTCTACCAGATGTACAAGCTAAATGCCGCTAGAGCATGGATGGACTTTTCTCGAGCCTCCGCCATTCTGAGCCTCCACTTGCGACACAGGGAAGCAGCTGTGGGTAACTACTCCAACGGGGGGCATTTAGAACCGGCAGAGCTGGGCCTATATTGGACATGCTGGAAGTCAGAATGGTGACTTCTATCCTTCTTTTCTCTTCTGCCAGTTCCCTCTGGGTAACTGTTCGATCTAAGTTGAGGCTAATATTCGTAATCTATCCAGTGACTTACGCGCGGAGCTCGACATACCCGATTCGATTTTGTGTGAGTTCAACGTGTCCGACGGGTATCCAATACCCTCGTCCGTAAGCTCGACCGAGTCGGAAGCTGTGCTGTCCGGGACACCAACAGACTCAGAAGACTTGTCACATCTCTGGAAGTTGTCCACATATTACTACTTGTCTGATGTGGCACTTATGCGCGTAGAAGCGCAAATTCTCAACTTTATGTACAGCACTAATGACTTGCAATGGTCGCCTGCCAACCTATCTTACATGTGCCGGACAGCCGCGGATCTCGAATCCCAAATAGATCACTGGTAAGTTGCCAAAAACAAAACTCAACTTTATTAACAGGGTAGGGGCTTTAATATATTCTTTTATTGACTGCCTGGTGTCCGACGTCAGGTCCAGAAACCGACCATCCATAATCCACTTCGAAGAATGGGACTCGGCACCCAGGTTTGAGCTGACGTACAACCTGCAAGCACGGGTTCTGCAGCTGAGATCGTGGCTCTATCGGCCATTTGTATACTACGCAATCCATCATGACGGCGGGCATATTAATGAGAACGAGGAGGCTAAGAGGTTTTTGCGGAAAGCTATCGAGTGCAGTTTCCATATGATCAACTCCAAGGCGACGCAGCACCGGCATCATGGAACCTGGTTTGTCGCCCGCGGTGTACTCAGTTCAGCCCTGTTAATCATTGCAGCTGTCAAGGCGGACAAGGGACTCGTGGACTATTTGGCAGATTGGCCGGACTTGTTAGACCAGGCGATAAGGTCTTTGACTCATTGGGCTTCGGAGGCGCGGGATCTGGCTTACGCGGCTGTTGTTCTTGCTAATCTCAAGCAAAAGTTGTGTACTTAAAATGATTGAGCTATATACAACAATTTGTTATCCTCGAAGCTTGAAGGAGCTAAGGTAAGAAAAAGAAGACGCGACCATTTCTTCATGCATGTAAGCATCAGGAACCGTTGAAACGTTAAATCGTTCCAAACCAGACCGACTGCCCAAGTGACTTACAGCCAGTATAACCTATTCTGAATTGACGAAGGCGACGCTGGCAGTGGCTGATGGCTAAATTCACCACGTCATAGCAGCGACACACCTTGCAAACTCGACACGACTATTACAAAGTCGTACTGATCATCCCGGTAATGACCGTTAAGGTCCCACATAGCCATTCGAGCTTTCAACTGCTTCATCGCCACACCCACAGCTATCAATGTCATTTTACTGAGTCATGACAGGGTCCCAAGGTCATTCTAATCAGTGCTATCATAGAGAGCACGTGTCCTCTTAGGCATCAGCCCTACGAAAGCTTCTATACCACGTGTCAGTAAAGCGGCAAAACTCCGTCCCTATTGAGTAAGTCCGAGCAAAAACAGGTAAACCGTTCCCCTCCGTTGGAATCCCAGTCAAGTTATCTCATCCGAAGCCCTACCAGCCAAGCACCAGTCAAATAGTGCTTGGTATCAACGTGGATGAAATGGTGCGCTTCAATGAGCATCGCATCTTATCCACGGCTCCACGCACGTGAACCCGCATGCGGCAATGATTGGTTCGGCTCCACCGAGCTTTATCTGATGCGCCAATTGCATGAACGCATGATAACAAGGATGAGATCCCTATTGCGACTGGCTCCTGATTGGTAGTCACGCTTGCATACGCATGTAACCATCCTAGTGGGAAGAGGCTACACGCCCAGATAAAAACCTGCCCTCGTGCTCATCCTCCTGCAGCACAATGAGATTTTTCCCAATCCATCTCCCGCTGGTGTTCTTTGCTTTGCAACATTGCGATGTCTTCTGAGAACTCGTGGGAAAACTCTCAGTCGAAGGATGTTGGCGTCCTGGAGACACACGTCCAGGCCGTCGATACCTCCGACGCTGATCCTTCGGCTGTGTCCCGCAAGAGACAGAGTCTCTCTGACTTCTTGACTATTGTTAGTTTCCTTACTTTGGCTGCAAATCTACTTTGATTCAATATCTGCTTGGACAATGTTACTGATTATGTTTCTAGCTTGCTAGTGGATTCGCCCTCATCAGCGATGGGTACCAGAATAACCTCATGTACTTACCCCGCAAACGATGTGCCGATGTACCCCGCTGATAGTATGCAGGACTATGACCAATGTGCTTCTAAAGGCAGAATACCCCAAACAATACGTTTCGGCTGTATCGACACGTGTATCAAATGCCCTGCTTGTTGGGGAAGTCATTGGTCAGATTGTGATCGGGTTTGTCTATGGCATCCTTTTCACACACATAGAGGAACCTGCTAACTCCACGCCTAGGTTAACATGCGACTACATGGGACGAAAAGCTGCCATGGTTTTCACAACTCTAATGATCGTCATCGGCGGTATCTTGGCCACCGCATCACACGGTGTCACTATCAACGGCATGTTCTGGATGCTGACAGTTTCCCGTGGTATTATTGGCTTTGGTAGGTGCAAATCCTTCCAGTACGCTGGATTAATGAGTGCTGATTATCTCAGGAACCGGTGGTGAATATCCCGCGTCGTCAGTTTCGGCATCCGAAACCGCCAATGACTTGACCTTGAAGCAGCGCGGTCCAGCCTTCATCATGGTGACAAACTTTCCGCTGTCATTTGGTGGTCCCTTTGCTGTTCTGGTTTTCTTGATTGTATTCTCAGCATGCCAGCAATCCCACTACAGCACCGTCTGGCGCGTCTGCTTCGGTATCGGGTGCATCTGGCCTCTTTCCGTGTTCTACTTCCGGTGGCGCATGCTGAACTCGGCGCTCTATCGTCGCGGAGCCATCAAGAAGCGAGTTCCATATGGACTGGTGATTCGCTATTACTGGAAATCACTCATTGGAACCTGTGGTGCCTGGTTCCTCTACGGTACGTACCCTTCACCATCACCTGATCTGTCAATCACATCTAACCTTATACAGACTTCGTCACCTTCCCCAACGGCGTCTTTTCTGCCAGCATCATCTCCTCCGTGGTCGGCGACGACTCAATCCTCAAAACCGGCGAATGGCAGCTCCTCCTCGGAGCCATTTCCCTCCCCGGTGTCTTCCTCGGCGCTCTCTTCTGCAACAAACTCGGTCGCAAAAACGTAATGATGATCGGATTCGGCGGCTACCTCATTTTCGGTCTGATTATCGGCTGTGCATTTGAGAAAATCACCAAGATCATCCCCCTCTTTGTGGTCTTCTACGGCCTCATGCAGAGTTCGGGCAACTTTGGCCCAGGGAACATGCTCGGCTTACTTTCGTCGGAGCTGTACGCCACCGGTGTTCGGGGTACTTGTTATGGCTTGTCTGCTGCTGTGGGAAAAGCAGGCGCTGCTATTGGTACCCAAGCGTTCACTCCCATTGAGGATAATCTGGGTAAGAAGTGGACGTTTATTATTGCGGCTATTTGTGGTGTTGTGGGAATCCTGGTGACTTATTTCTTTGTTCCGGACATTTCGGGTGAGGATTTGAGAATCCGTGATGAGAAATTTCGGGCCTACCTTGTATCGAAGGGGTGGGATGGTGCCATGGGTGAGGATGATATGCAGGCCTTGGCGGATGAGGGCATTCCGCCGTCTCTCAGGGAGGAAAAGTGATAATGCTTTCCTTGTTGGGCATAGGGGTGGAATGAATGGTAGATAATGTGTTCACATAATTATATTGATTTGATGACTTTTATGAGCAGACCACCATGATTGATCACACGATAATGTTCCGGGCATCTTAGCAGTAGCTTAACGAAGTATAAGGAGGGTGACTGCCACTACGAAGGGGGTGGACAACCCTTGTAGAATTGCAACCCCTTCGAGGGTCTGTGAGAGCGGAGTGATCCCCTGGTAGTTCCCTATTGTTTGATTCCCTGGCAAGAAAATTATCCTCCATCCCTTGATTGGTATGCACTCCAGGATCTTTGTGTAATCTCGGAATTCCATCTGTGGCCATCAGTGAAACAAGGGGTTTATCTGGGAATTGATTTCCGCACCCCAACCACACCCTTGGTACCTGCATACCCGCCCTGGAATGCAACGGTTGCCAAGGGGTGTGGGCCTGACAGCAGCACCGTTGTTGTAGTTTGTTCATGTTGTTGTGAGGGACTAACACCCACTTAGTGCTCCAACCCTGCAGCTGTTTCTCAGTTTGCAGGTTCACCTTCCCCTGCCAGTCATACGTATCAAACATAGTAGAGAGGAATATCTAAGCGGACTATGGCATGTTCAGCAGGATGTTACACCTTTAAGGAGCTCACCAATGCAGTGGTTCTAGTTGACAAATCCTGTCCCAGTTTCGGGACGACACCATAACATTCCTGCCTTGCCGATCGGGCTCACCATCATGGACTCTTCCCAGTTCTTTCGAGTATACCAATAATGGTATAAGAAATTCTGTCAAATTCTCTTTAACCACTACCACCCTTCCACGGTTCCACAAAGTTAACAGCGAAGGGCCAGTGGTATCCTCCCTCTTCTTATATCCCCAAGGGGGTTCTGTCACTTAAGCATCTCCCTCAATAAGATAGTCCCCACGATTTCCTTATCGGGAACAAGTAAACCGGGTAAGGAATCCGCACCGTTACACAAAGTCTCGCGAGGCAGATGCAGGGTCTGTTTATGTTTAAATCCCTCTGTTAGCCGGAAATTGGAGTTCTGTCAACTTACCTTAGTTTTTTCTTTCTTTAATTTTCTATAGGGTGTATCTCACCGGGTTTTTTGAAATCACCATCAGACAGTCACAATGAAGATAAACACGGGCACTTTCTGGGCCCTCATCCCAAGCTATATTTCTCTGGCAGCAGCAGCAGCATCATCATGCTATGCACCGGATGGCTCACAAGTGGACAGCTCCATATACCAGCCATGCGTCTCCATCTCGGGTGTACATTCGATGTGCTGTAAACTCAATGATGCGGATCCAGATACGTGTGATCCCTCGGGACTTTGTCAGACGAATGAAGGAGCATACTATCGGGAGTTCTGCACGGATCAATCGTGGAACTCGACGAATTGTTTACCGAAGGACATCTGTGGTAATCAGGTCAGTCTCTTCCCTATCTTTATCAGATAAACTGGCAACTGATAATAGAGACAGAATGGCGGAAATTCCGACTGGACCTACCAACTGACCAACTGCGGCGACGGATCCTGGTGCTGCGGCAGTACCACTGCCTGCTGCAACACATACGAGACATTTACCCTTGATTCAACACTCCTCAAATTTTCTTCTAATGACGATTCGAATTCTAACTCTAACTCCGGCTCTAGCTCCAACTCCAAGTCTGGTTCCGACTCCAATTCCGCCTCGGATGGTTCTTCTACCTCTGCACCCACAACAACTGGAACTGGAAACCCCTTGGGTGACGGTAGCAGCGGCATCAACAGCGAACCGGATCAATCCGATTCTGAAAAATCGAAGAGGCTCGCGATTGGACTCGGTGTTGGGCTACCATTGGCATGCATAGCCGTGGCTATGCTGGGAGCTGGATATCTCTGGGGTAGAAGGGATATGAAGAAGGAGTTGCAGCCGAGGTTCCAACCACGTATCATAAATCTTCCGTTAGAGAAGCCAAAGGGTGAGATAGGGTGTCCACGTCCGGCGGATGATGATTCGAGCGTGTCTCATTGTTTGGAGATAGTGCGGAGCCCTTGAGTATGAGATGAAGGGTTGATGGAAAGGAGTTCCTTGGGGGTTAGGGTGGCTGTCTGTTTTGTCTTATGCATGTTTTCTTGTTTCCCTTTCCCTGGGCTATTGCTGTCCCCGGTGTTGTGTATCAATACCCCATCATGTAGTGTCTAATTTCATTAAATCGATACCTTGTTCACAATTGCATCTGCAGTTTGCTCCGATTCTCAATCGCTTTTTACGTAGGATCAAGTTCGTGTCTGGCGGAATCTGGTGTCATACATTGCCGGGTTGGGACCTGCCTCCTACGCCATGGCTTCAAGCAGGTACCACCTATCGACGTAATAATGACAAGCGGCTTTTCTTCTATTCATAATAGCAGACACCTCCGCTAAACGCAACACTACTTGGTCCGTACAACCTGCGCCAACTCATCCTTGCATTAGACCGTGACAGCTGCAGCCAAGACAAGGCTAGATCGTAGCCTCATCCTACATCCCTTCAGCCGGCGCACCTCATATGAGCTACCCATCCACCTCAACACTCGGCGCTTAACCCTCCACCAGACATCTATCCACCAACCATACAGCATATATAACCGCTTGCCAACAAGAACCCGAAACACTTTTGAACTACATCCCCAGAATTTCCTAAATGCTTCAGGCACCCATCCCAATGCGTTCCACACTCACTCTATATATATATTCTTTATAACCCTACCCCCACCGCCGCAACTAATACTCACATCCCCTCACAATGCCGCAAACCACAGAACCAAAAAACAATCTCCCACCCCTCCACACCTACACAATCGCCTACATCACTGCCCTGCCTAAAGAACAAACCGCCGTCCTGGCCACTCTCGACACCATCCACCACCAGCACATCCCAACCCCCGTAAGCGACAAAAACACCTACACTCTCGGCTCCATACCACCGCACAACATCGTCCTAATATGCCTCCCTACCATGGGAACAACCTCCGCCGCGAGCGCAGTGACATCGCTTCTGCACATGTTCCCATCCATCAGGTTCGCTCTGCTCGTTGGCGTGGCGGGTGGTGTTCCGAGCAATGGGGTGAAATTGGGTGATGTGGTTGTTAGTGTGCCGGTTAGTGGTGGGTATGGGGGTGTGGCGGGGTGGGATAGAGGGATGCTGGTGCGGAATGGGAGGGTTGTTGTGCAGAATGAAGGTGGGATGTGTAGGAGGGAGGAATTTGGGGTAGGGTTGGGTGTGAAGAAGGTGTTGGAGAGGTTAAAGCGTAACAGTGAGATGGTTGCACGGAAGATCAATGGGTGTTTGGATGATGTGGAGGAGAGGTTTCCGCGATTAGTATCGAGGTGGACACGGTGCGATGGGTTGAGAGATCCGCTGTTGGAACGGTGGTGGGTGTATTCCTATCTATATTTGCTGGTGTGGGTGTTGTGGAAGGTGGTTGTTGCGGGTGTTGTAGGGCTGCTTGGGTTATGGGGGTTGGAGATGATGGGGGTTGGGTTTGGGTTTGAAGGGGATGTGGGCAAGGAGAAGATGATGATTGCAGGGGAGAAAAAAAGAAGGAACGTCCGTGTCCATTACGGTTTAATCGCCTCAGGGAATTTTGTTGTTAAGGATGCGAAAGCTCGTGATGCTCTTAATAAGGGGTTTGAGGAAGGTATATTATGTGCGGAGATGGAAGCAGCTGGGGTGATGGATCTGGTTCCGTGTATTGTTGTTAGGGGGATCTGTGACTATGCGGACTCCGGAAAGAATAAGGATTGGCAGGAATATGCTGCTATGGTTGCTGCGGCGTATGCCAGGGTCTTGTTGGAGTCTTTATCGCCTGGGGATGTGGAGATGGTTGGCAATGCGAGGAATGAACACCCTGGCTATCCAGATGAGCTAGATTTAGGTATTCGAATATAAATTTCGCTTATACGTAGTACACATATAGTCTTGTGTCATGGATAGATCATATTGTATATAGGGAAAGTCTTATCGCATGAGACTTAGAAAGGCAGGTCACAAATGCTTCAAATTCATCCCGAACCGAAGAAAGGCTGCCGGGATCAATCAATATAAGATTGGCTACTTTGGTTCTAGTGTTGATCCTTCTACATTACGGGATGCTATTTCACTGAAATAAAATCGACACACCAACATGGTCCTCAGGTATCGTCAAGGGCATTAGCAATTCCTCAATGAGGATGTAGTTTCGGACTAATGCAAAGGCGACATGGCATGGTGGAGCTGTCTTACTTTCTACCCGAGAGGAACAAAAAAAAAATGCAAAAAGAATGGGACAAGCCGGGCTTGAACCGGCCACCTCCAGATCTTCAGTCTGACGCGCTCCCAGATGCGCCATTGTCCCTTGTTCTTGAAAAATGCTCACAAATCATGTTATACAAAGCAGTGCTAATAGCGAAGCAAATGATCACGATAAGCCGATCGCAGTGGCTATGAGATAAACTTTGGGTGACTTCGCAGATCCATGATTGTCACGCCAAGAAAATACCCGATTGTTCTTGACTGCTCGGTCGGAGCTAGATCATGTTGTGAACCTCGTCTTATTGGTCAATGCTAGAGAACATGCAAAATAAATTGGCAGCTATTTTATCGCATGTGCTTCTTGATCTATATCGATACTACCAGGAGTGCCATCGACAGCTTTATAGTAGAGTGAACGTAATAGCATGGGTGTATATCTCATATTAACAGCCAATATCTGCGCTAAGCAGCGAAAGAATACATAAGTGAAGCGAAAGAAAGCCAAATGAAAACAGAACGTGGAGCATGACGTCCAGAATTCAACAAAATATCCGACTATACATGTGACAGGCAAACAGCAGCCTACCATCCGTATGCGGACTTTGTGGGCACCGAGCTCCAGGCAGCCTGCGGCGTAATAGAAGCAGTCTTGGTGTGTGTTGCAGTCTTGGTGGACGTGACGTATTTGGTGGTCTTGACCGTCTTCGTTTTCTCTGCAGTCTTAGTCGTGTGGGCGGATTTGGTACTGGTGGACTTGGAAGTTTCTGTGGTCTTGGTCGTCTTTGATGAGGTCTTTGTGGAAGTCTTGGTCGATGTCTTCGTAGAAGTTTTCGTCGAGGTCTTGGTTGAAGTCTTGGTCGAAGACTTAGTCGACGAGGTCTCAGAGCTAGAAGAAGACGAAGAGGTCGAAACATAAACCTTGCCTAGGGCGTTGACCGATCCACTGGTAAGCAAGAACTTGTTTGCGGTATAGAAGTAAGCGTAACGGCCCACTTTGGGGTGGGAGTCCATCCACTCGATCGATTTCTCAAGGAAGGTCTTAGCCGTGGACTCGTTGGTGATGCCGCTGGTGTCGGTGTCAAGGGCAAACTCGGTGAGCCAGACCTCGTCAATATCATACTTCGAGGCAGTCTCGATAGCCTCCTTCATGTACGACTCGAGCTGAGCAAACGACCCACCGTACCAGTGGACAGCCATAGCAGAGATGTTGCAGCTCTTGCAATCGCTCATGAAGGTCTTGAACCAGCTGAGACCCTCGCCGGACTGAGTGGAGGAAGTGATGGCCGGACTGACGAGCTTGGCGCGATCTCCGTACGGTGTGATATACTTCTTGTACAAGGTGGCAGCCTTGGAGGCACCAATGTTGGCCTGCGAGGCGTTGTCCGGTTCGTTGAAACCCAAGATATGTTTGCTGCCATCCTTCAATGCTGTCTTTACCGCAGAATCCCAGTCATCCACCGAGTCAGTGCCCCAGAGCATTGGCACGAATTCAACGCCCGATGGCATGTTCCCGTTCTTCTTCATGTCCCAATTGTATGACCACGACATACTTCCAGACTTGCTTTTCGCCAGGGTACGGACAAGCGACGCATCGTTGTAGGCTGCACCACGCTTGCTGGAGGAGGCTGCGGCTGAGGCTGCCACCAGGGCAGCAGTGACGAGTTTTGAGAATGAGACCATATTGCTGTCAAGACGGATTGAGCTGGTAAAAAGAAGGAATGTGATTGACGACACAGAAAAGAGTGATATGTCTCGTCAAAGTAAAAGAGTAATTGAGCTTTGAAGGAATGACACTGTGCGCAGCACAGGATTAGGATAGCAATAATAGGGACACACGAGTAAGATGCAAATCACCCAGGGAAAAGGGCGGTTTTATGTAGGTACACTGCATGACGGGCAGCTCTCTGCAAATCCCTAAGACAGCCTTGCATCAACCAACAGCGAGCCAGCCAAGCCCGGTCTTAGATCCTGGGATATATTAAGGATCAGATAGATCCTAAGGCCTGGCTTACGATAGGTTACGGGAGCTTGAACAGGAGCTCATGCAGCCAATGTAAAACAGCAGTCAATGGGGCCAAATGGTGCGAACAGATATAATTGGGAACTCCTGTCTCATTCACAGCCCGGTCAGCTGGGTGATACTAAACCATGTTGGCACAGCTCGTTGGGGGCCATCTTCCATCGACATTCGATTTCGAGCTGATCGATGCTTTGCCCAAATGGGAATAGGGTGTGTATAAATCATGTGATGAATTGTGAAATCCACGTGCTGGAAATGATGATCTCAGCAGCCGCTTAGTAAGAAATGCTTGTTGTTCACGTGATATAAATCTGGAAGCGGACCGAGAAAAAGAAGTGAAGGATCGGCGGGTCAAATCTGGTGGACCTCGGATGATGTCTATTCCATGATATGGCTCTGCAGAATGTGAATCTGGGATAACCCACTGCAATCCTGGCAGAGCATTAGGCGAGTCTCGAAAATTCAATTGACTTTTCTCACCTACGAAAACATGATGTAGATGGCATGAATACAGGACGATCAAGTGCACAGGCAAGCGCTCAATTCGCCACGTAGGAGGCGCAGGCATGACTCGCTAAGTTCGCCATATCGAATGTTCGTGGAAGACTGCTAATTCAGACTTCGGGAGAAACTTTGATTCGGAGGTGGTTTCCGCATTGGTTGGCGGCGACAATAATGGCTGAGTCCACCGGGCCGAGTGCACGTTCCATTTCAAACCCATTCAGTCTCCTTGCAATTCCAAGTCTTCATCCAGAAATAGTATTCTTTTCAATTGACAATGTGCCCTGGATTCCTCCACTTTGAGCTTGAATCTAGTCAAGGATCCGTCATGGATGGGGGCGAAGTTAGAGAAACGATAAGATAGACTTCATTTTGCGACGGCATTGGAATTGTTCTTCGGGAGCGAAACCGAGTAACCATGGCAGGATTTGACGCTTGCCCATCTCCCGAAGTGGGTCGGCAGGCAGCCAAATATCTAGACGACCGTTTATTGATTGGATTGACCACCTAAGGTTCTCGGCTAGTGCCGTTCTCATACGCATGCACTTACGTGATGTTCTCCTATACCAAGAAGCCCTATCCCATTCAGGCTTCGCTTCCACGAATACAGAGCTCGGGGGCCCCGGTACGGAGTCAACACATTGAAATGGAAAGTTGGAAGTCTCGTCTCAAATGCGAGTCTGCGTCGTGGCGAAAAGGCTTGACTTATATGTTCGGACCAGACTGGGTGGGGATTCAGCAATGACTCCTATCTATACTGGCGATGGCTGCGTGGGGTATTCGCGGACCTCTGACGCGTCACCACCTATTCGTGGAATCAAGGGGATGAAAGCATAGACGGTTTTCTTGGCCGTGGGAAGTTGGATCCAGGACTCCACAGGTGCGACAGCATTTCTACAAAAGCCCTCTTGGTCACGGAGGGTGATGAAGTTGTACCAAACTCCCACTCTCGTTAATAGTCAGGCATTGGTAGACCCAAGCTCAACTTTTGCTGTCCATTAGACTTTCTTTCGTTTTGCAGTTCTTGTTCATATACCAGTACTCTCGTTTGTATTCGCCAATTGTTTGATTTTATAAAGCATATCGCCATGAGACTTTCCCATCTGGCTGCTGGTGCAGCCCTTTTCGCCAGCTCGGCGCTCGCCGTCGACCCCATCGAAATCAAGGTATGATCCTGTCTTGTGTCCTTATCTTATAGTATTTTCAATGCTCATTCCCTCTAGGGTTCCAAGTTCTTCTACTCCAGCAATGACACTCAATTGTAAGTATTCATCCGAAGATACTTTCACAGTACGATCGATTTTAACTTGTTTCCAGCTTCCTTCGCGGTGTGGCGTATCAGAGTCGGTAGCCAATTTCCTGATATAACGTTCAAAACTAATACTCCATAACAGAGAGCACCACTGCCGACCCCTTGAGTACCAAGACCACCTGCGAGCGTGACATCCCCTACATGAAGGAGCTCCGCACCAACGTCATTCGTACCTACGACATTGACCCTACGGCCGACCACGATGACTGCATGCAGCTTCTCGCTGATGCGGGCATCTACGTTATTGCTGATCTTTCCAACACCAGCGTTGCCATCGACCGCAGTGACCCTGCCTGGCAGCTCACCCTCTACAACCGCTACACCAGCGTCATCGACGCAATGGCTGGTTACAACAACACTCTCGGTTTCTTTGCTGGTAACGAAATTGCCAACAGTGTTGGAACCACTGAGGCCATGCCTTACGTCAAGGCTGCCATCCGTGATATGAAGACCTACATCAGCAACAAGGGATACCGTTCTATTGGTGTGGGATACGCCACCGCTGACGTTTCTTCCATCCGTAATGACCTGGCCGACTACATTAACTGCCAGTCGGAGTCCGTCGGCATTGACTTCTTCGGTTACAACATCTATTCCTGGTGCGGTGACTCGACCTACGCGGAATCCGGATACAAGGCCCGTACCGAGGAGTTTGCCAACTACTCCGTTCCTGTCTTCTTCTCCGAGTACGGTTGCAACAGTGTGACTCCCCGTACCTTCACTGAAGTTGCGGCCCTCTATGGCGACACCATGTCCCAGGTCTGGTCTGGCGGTATCGTCTACGAGTACTTCCAGGACACCAACGACTATGGTACGTCCTCTCCTTTCTTCGCTACTTTCACATATTCAATCTAACAATCTACAGGTCTGGTCTCCGTCGTCGACAGCACCAGCGTCAGCACCATGACCGACTTCAGCTACTACTCCAAGGAAATCGCCAGCGCCACCCCCAGCAGCACCAACAAGGCCTCCTACACCCCCACCAACACCGCCCTCCGCAGCTGCCCTACCGAGGACTCCTCCTGGAAGGCCAAGGCCTCTCCCCTTCCCCCGACTCCCGACGCTGATCTCTGTGAGTGCATGGTCGACGCCGCCACCTGCACCGTCAAGGATTCCCTTGACTCCGACGACATCGGTGACTTGATGGGCGAGGTTTGCGGTATGATGTCCTGCACCGGTATCACCGGCAACGGCACCACCGGCAAGTACGGCGCCTACAGCATGTGCAACAGCAAGCAGCAGCTCGTCTTCGTCCTGAACGAGTACTACGAGAAGCAGAAGTCCGCCGGTAACGCCGCCTCTGCTTGCAGCTGGGGTGGCTCCGCTACCACCAAGTCTGCTACCTCCGCCACCGGCTCTTGCAAGACTTACATGTCCGAGGCTGGTACCGCCGGCACTGGTCTCGTTACTTCTGATGCTACTGCCACTGCTGGATCCAGCGGTTCGACTGCCTCGTCTACTTCTGGCTCCAGCGTTTCCGGTGGTGCCAAGGCTGTCCACGTCGGTTACTTCCAGCTCGCTGTTTACGTGGCCGTGGCTGTTGCTAGCGGAATTGCTATGATTATGTTGTAGATGGATTGAATTAGAGAGCCCGCTGTTGTGTGGAGTCGTTAGATCGCTTCTGCGTGTTCTTTTTTTCATCTGCTATTTTGTTTTCTGTTTCTGTTTCTGCTCTTGTTGATCGAGTCTGTACTTGACAATTAGACAATATTATCTTTATTCAGTATATATTTATCTTCTTATTATAAAGAACTTGAACATAATCATATTTTCTTCCCAAAGAGCATACAATAACTTGTAGACATTCCAATGTCATAATTAATGTCCCTTGAGTATCAAACAACACTGCACTAAATATAACAACTAGACACTTTGGCCGAGTGGTTTAAGGCGCAGGCCTGCTACTACATCTCCGTACTAGCTGATTAGCCTGTGGGTTCGCCCGCCTGGGTTCGAGTCCCAGAGGTGTCGCATATTTCTTTTTCCCAACTTTATTTTTTACCTAGACCCACTTTAGGCAAACCATTGCTATCACAGTGGAGTTCACTGTTTTTAACCATGGTTAAGCATTTAAGCGTGAATCTATAATTTCATGGCGTAGTGGAGGCCAATATATCGGATACGGTTTCTTGGCGGTGTTCGTTTATTTTCACGAGGTGGAGCAGCTAGGGAGAAGACTGGAAAGGAGGTATGATCATGGGTTTATATATACCCGTGATAGCACCATTTTGGGGGAAGATATTCTGAGGTAGGGACATGTTCTATATTTGCTAGCGGTGGGGATTGGGTGATGGATCATATCAGGTGGGTGGGATATTATATGACCAGGGAGGGAAGGGGGGGGAGGGAGGTATGTGAGACAGCATCGGCCAGTATGCTTCATGTAGCATCGGTTGTGGGCATTGCTGCAGTTGAAAACTTCAATCGCTCGGCTTAACACCAGATTTTCTAACCTGTCTGATTGTCTTCTCTCGCTTCATTTTAATCTCGCCTCGGTTCCTAGACTCTATGTCCATCGACAAATTTATCCCCGTTCTATCTTCTCCGCCGAGAGGCCATCACAAAAACTCGCCATGTAAGGGACTGCAGGCAGGTGATGATAGCTTTGTTAGCCGCGCTCGTGTAATAACGATTCACTGTCCTGGTCTTTCCTTGCTTCGCCATTCATGGTGGCGCGATTTGGCGCATATCGATGGGACGATGGCGTTGAAGGATGTGGCATATCAATTGACGGTTAGTGGTCGTAGCCTTCTGTAGGGGCGGATACGAGGGACGCATGAGGGGGGGGGAACCTAGGGTGTACCCCTAAACAAGTGTTCAGCAAACAAGCGAGACATTGCAGCACGCTTCTTCTATGCTGTTTCACCACCGCGAGGAATGCCAGTGTGCACGGGTATGCTGCACCTTACCGCGGAACAATCAGGTGGGGATACGCGCTGCGGTTTCCCTGTTTGTTGCAAGTTGGCGGGTCGTGTCATTGGAGTCGACTCGGTATTATGAGCAGGGTGGGATATGGGTGACCAGAGGTAGCTAGCATGGCTGATTGCGCTGACAGGGAAAGGGGGGAAGGTGCTGCAAGAATTATAGAACGCAACAGTACTTGTTGTCTACTGGTCATTCTCGAGGCCTCCGGGCAGTGCCAGCGTAGAGGGCAGACAATGGAGGCCATGAAAGCAGAAAGATGACGTAGACTGCGATGCTCGCTAGTTACAAGCTGTTGTATGTACTCAATGAGTTGCGGGTTTTCTGCGACGTCTGCGGCCAGGCATTTTGTATGGGCTACTAGCCTGAACAACTGGTCCTTGGCTTGATCTCTATAAGAAATACCCTCCCTGGCACGTCTATATCAGTCGTTGGTGAGAATACGACATGATGGATGTGGGTTGATGGTTCCAGCTACTATTACTAGTACTTAGTGGTATCAATAGGTTCACAGGGACAGTGGCTTTACCGTCTTGGAATGTTGGTGGGTGATAGCCGAAATATATACTACTACCATTTATCTCCCACCACAATGATCACCCAGAACTACAGTTCGCGCGATGAAGCCTTCACTGGTGGCATACTGCATGATATCTAAAGCGTAATATTGAGATATATAACATCAAACCACAGTATTACATAGAACGCTAACTTATGCGAAGTAGTAGATGGCGAGAGGTTGAGGGCTGGTGAGAGCAATGGACTATGAGGCAGGCATAAGACAAGGTCCCTAAAAGATCCTCATAAGCATATATGGTAAGCGTCTTTCACCGAACTAGCCCGGCTAGCTCAATCGGTAGAGCGTGAGACTCTTAATCTCAAGGCTGCGGGTTCGAGCCCCGCGTTGGGCTTTCTTTTTTTCCTTTAAAACTTTTTTGCTTCCTAGCAAAACTCCTCCCAGCTACATGGAAACCTTTTCTCTTACATATTGGTGTCAGAGACAAAAGCAGAACACTATATCTATCAACCATCAACCGAAACAACCTAATTCCTGTCCTCTCATTGGATTGTCTATTCGGGCCGCATTCCTGATAACCTTGCGGGTAAACCCGCTGGTGATCATCAATCACCCCACCAGAGAATATGGGACAGAGGTTATGGACGACGGGACAAACCACTACAGTTTCATGGTGGCCAAACAGACCCATTAGATAGACACTGAAAACAAATGTAGACCATCTCCGAAACGAAATCTTTTAGACCCTCGAATTGCATTCAACTACGCACTCCTGGGATCCTGTCTCGACGTAACACGTCATTAATTGTAAGGAATGATGTCAGTAAAGGAGATTGCTGGATCAACTTCGTGTTTCTGGTATTTGCTCTCCATTGCAAGTGTCGACGCTAGCCCAAATAAGAGGTGAGAGATAATACTAGAGACACGTATATGGTTCGAATTCGGACCAGTCCACCTCGTATTCCATAGTAGTCGGACCAAATTCACCAATACGATGCTATCTCATTTCTACCACATTCGCTAGCATGTCCCTATACTAGATTAGGACCAGGTCCAAAATCTTCCAGTTGACCAACCTGACCGAGCCAAGCTTTCAACACCAAGTAAGTCGGCGATATAGTGGATCCCCCGAGAGGTCCCTTCCCTGCGGGGTTGCCCTCATTTGTAAGCACTCCTTCCCCTCAATCGACATCATCTATAATCGTACTCAATCCACAGCATATCACCAGTCTCTGACTTAAACCCGAAATACTCCAATTCCAACAAACCCATCCAAATCATAAGCCAGCATGTCCACCCAATCCTCCCAAACAGTCTACCACTACCTCGACATCGGCCGCCTAGGCCGCGGCGAAGTCGTCAGGTCAGCCAACATCCACCTCCACACCCCACCCCGCATCTTATACCATCAATATCCACTAACCACAGAATACCATGTATGGAAACAGACTCTTCCTCAAGGACGCCGGTATCGAATTCAGCGAAGTCCGCTACCCATACGATGAGAACTGGCCCCAGGTTAGCAAGAAGCTGCAGGAGCAGGGTATCACTCGAACTGGACTGGTGCCCGCGCTTGAGTATAAGGGGAAGATTCTGACGCAGGTGCGCATTCCCCGAGTATATTAACATCGTATGCATAATCTAATGCGGGTCTAGCATATCCCCACCCTCCGCTACCTATCCCGCGACCTTGGCCGCTACGATGGCGAGACAAGCTGGGAGAAGTATATCGTTGATGCGGTGGCGGATGTATATATTGATTGGAGGGTGAGTATCCCCTCTACTCTTCTATATCACTAGTGCTTACACTATAATGTAGAGCGAATGGGTCTCCAATTTCATGCAACCTTCCGAGAAATACAAGAACGAGTCCACAGCCAAGTACTACGATGTTGTGGGGAAGTACTACGCCGAGACGGAGGGTCCGTATCTTCTAGGGGATAAGGTTACGTATGCCGATTTTGCTATTTATCAGATTATGGATAATGATCGGAGGACGGGGACTATTGTGGTATGTTGATTCTTCCTTTGCATTTTTTGTTCTTTCTCGAGGGGATGTAGAAAGAGGGCTCACTCTTAATCGTTGGTTAGGCAAATCTTCCCGAGTCGCTTGTTAGGTTTACGGATGCCTTTGAGAAGAGGGAGAATATTGCGGCGCTTATTCAGGAGACGAAGTAGAGTTGCCGGTTCCCATTGAGTCAAATGGGTGTGAGTGCTCCGCGATGGGGTGGAGTCGGATGTACTCTGCGTTTCATGTTTTACTCTCCCAAGTTGACACGGCGTAAATGATTTGGCAATGGAAGCAGGGACCAATAAAAGGACTCGAGAGCCGTTCTGTGTACCGATTGTAGCAACTTTTATATCTCCATCTATCATAACTCATGTCATCTCAATCCCGATTAATCTCCACCACCGGTCCCGTATACTCCTTCCTCGCCCAAATAACATAATACACCGTACTAATCAGACTTGTACCCACGGTACCAACAACGGCCCAATTCATCGTACTAGCCGTCGGATTCATCTCATCAGGCCAGAAGCTGAAGAACACGCCCACGACCAGGTAAGCAATGGTGAAGGCATTCACTGAAACACCCAATATGCCACGCATTCTGAACGGGCCCCAGGCAAGAGGCGCACCTGCCGTGTTTACAACTGTGTCTATGGGTGCATCGGATGGTTCGCGAATACCGCCCGTGAGCCGCTGCCACATTAGAAGGAAGGCCGAGATCAGGTAGGAAGAGTAGAGGGCGCTGACGCAGAGAGAGACAACGTCGTTGAGGACCGCTGCTGAGCCGAGGATGATCAGTGCGAGCAGGACAGCTGCGCTGGTTACGACGAGGATGGACCATTGGGGCACAGCTTGGGCGTTGACCTAGGGTTGGGTTAGTGGATTGCTTTGAGATGGCGAGGACGGGAAACATACCCTGCTGAGCACTTGCCATCCGGGGAGACCACGGTCTCGGGCGAAGGACCATGCCATGCGAGAGGAAGATGCCAATGAGCCCACAGCGGTGGCGGTGACTAGGATGGGGACGATGGCTGACATGACGGTGCATCCCCCGAGGGATTTGGTGGCTGAGCAGAAGATTTGCATGTAAGGATATCCTGTGGGTGAGGCTAGTGCGGCGGTGGCGTCTGTCATGGTAAACAATGTGGACAGAATCATTCCAAAGCCCAGAGCTCCGTTGATCAGAACCGACGTGAGGATGGACTGCGGGACAACGCGCTCTGCATCGTAGATTTCTTCGCTCATCTGCCCAGTTGTATGTCAGTCAAGTAGAGGAGATTTGAGGCTGAAGGTGATGAAAACTTACGTGGACAGCCGCATCCACACCGGTAAAGGCAAACATGTTACCAATCATACCGACCATGAAGGCTAATCCCTGGGTTTGGAAGCCACCATCATTGGCAAACTGCCCAAAGACCTCAGAAGCAGAGTTGTGATCTCCCAGGTAAACCAACGGAATGATGATCCCGAAGAACCCAAACACGTGCAAGATCAGGACAAGACCTTCAAATTTGGGCAACAGGGTGCTGGTAATAACGTTGACGAACACAGCAAAAGCCACAATGGCCCAGAACAGAAGCATTGTTTGCCAGGGCTCCGGGGTATAGGACGAATGGTTCAGGACCACCAAGCCCAGAATCTGGGAAGCACTTAGATAGCAGGTTGATGCAAATGCTCCCAGCCAGCCAATGACAATTAGCCATCCTAAAGTAGCTATATCAGTATGGTAAGCAGCGGAGAAAGCTGGGTAAATACACAAACCTGTGAGAAAGCTAAGGTACTTCTGGCACCATCGCGGGGACATCATCGATACCCAGTGGTATTGTCCTCCGGAAGTAGGGGCCCTTCACATAGAAGCATATTAGTCCGAGGCGGTTAGTTATCAGGTCGATGGACTTACATCGAAACCAGTTCAGACAGCGTGAGAAACGTTGAAAATGTACCCAACCAGACGACCAGGAAACTGTAGACCGTTCCAGCAGGACCTCCACTGTTGACATTGTTAGGTTAAAGTATCTCTTCATGTAGAGTCGATACATACTCCTCAAATGGTACGGTAAACGTCCTAAACATCAGTTAATAAAGATACGACGCACCATCTTTCCGTTGACTGGAAAATACGCACGACAAAATGCCCTCCCAGGATGCCAGAACCGTACAACTGAAACCCAATATGGACAAGAAACCAAACCGACGCTGTAAGCACTGGTAAGCCACAGCGGAAACACAAACCTAAGGTTACCACGCACCTTCAAGACCTGTTTCTTGCCCACGCGGCCCAGTCCCTGCTCATCATTGACTTGAGACTGGCTGCTGTTGGCGGCCTTGGAATCCAAATTCCGGTCGCGCAACTCAATCGGCGGCCCCATTGTGGCGTTGACTTATTTGTGCAGATGCCCGAAGTCAACCCTCTCGACTGCAGGAGGTAGAAGTAAGAGCAGAATGAGTAGGAAACTGAGAGCAAAGCTTGTTCCTTCGACTAACCCCTCCCGTCTTCTGATCCCTGTCTTATCCGGTGTAAAATTGGCTTGGCTGCATATGCATGACGAAGAAAAAGAAAAAAGGGGAGCGGAGACAAAAGGCCGCAACCGAGTTAACAGGGGCTCGTTCGGATTTTTTTTCATAACTGACACTGGTCAGTGTGTCCAAAGTCCATAGGAAAACAATTTTATCAACCGGGGAAACTTGACGAGGAGGGGGGGGTAGAATGTCAAGCTGCAGGGCGCCACCCGATAGTTAGCATTGTTGGGGCCACTAACATGGCCTAACAGGATCAAACACCGCGCAATCCTGCTGGATCCTTGGGCGGGTTGCATGTCTTTAGTGGCGGGTCCACCCTGTTCGGTGCCTTACTAGGGAGAGTTAAGCTTCCACTTCCGGGATGCTAGGCTTCGTGCCGTCGGATTACGGGCCAGCCTCCGGTCCGAAACTAGAGATTTTAGACAAGCAAACAATAATTGAAGGTCCACAGTCCGGGAAAGCTGAGGCAACTTGAAAACCTTAAAAAAGTGCCAGGTGCTCTCAGCGAACGGCTGGAGATCGTCCAACCCGCTGCTTCTTTCCGGAATAATTTCAATCTGAATGTGGAATACTTACGTCCAGTCGTAATGCATGTATATAGTACCGCGTAAGGCGATCTCTAATGGCTAATTGATTCTTGTAGTCCATGACTGCCATTGGACTCATTGTCCATCGGTCGGTTTGTCGCAGCATCCGGGTTATACTGCTCTTCTACGACCCAGGTTCTAGTCTCTCGAATGATATGATCCTGGCTGGAGTGGCTCATAGTATCGTCCCAATCCTGCTGTTCCCTCCCTGCCGAGACAGCGGTGCTGTTGGCTACCCCAACGTGCCCGCTAAGCTCGTGTGCAGCAGCCTTCGCTTTGCTCACGCGAGCGTACTCTCCGCGTTCAGACGTCTCGCCTGGAAGGTAGTATAATCGGAGCCCAGTGGACTGTAATCCGTCCATGAACGGCTTCAGGTGCGGAGCGCAGGCCATGACAATTGACAGACACTGTACTAGCTGGACGCAGACGGCAGCCTTCCAAATTGCCAGCAAGGGGTCTGGAGCGTGATTGTTTTGATGGCGATATACAAGCTCGAGAATGATCGCAACGATGACCCTGTTATTATATAGGCATCAGTTACTATCCACGAACGTCGAACGGGTTGTCACCAGCTAGCATACAAGAAGCGAGTGAGAAAGCAGGCGATGGCAACTATTTTCCTAGGGACCGCCATTTGAATCCGGAGTATGAGCATACTAGGTACTAGAATCAGGGCGACTTCACTTAGGATGTTGAACGCCCCGAAAACCATCCACCATGCATCCTGACCATGAGATTAGTCTGTATTCTTCGGTTTTTATAAGTGCATAGTATCTCACTCGATTGAAACATCTCTTCTGATTCCATCTCCACGGCTGCGGAAGATCGCATTGAAAAGCTACGGCGAATTCCGCCGCCACGGCCCAGGCGCTGATCAATGCAATGAGTACCCATTCAACCTTGCGGGTGCGCTGCATAAGAAAGGTCATGAATGCCAAGGCGCTCAGCTTGGAGAAAGTCAAGCTTGCAACGTATAGCATTTCTGCGGCATAAACAGACTGACTGCGTCAGCGACAAATTAATCCGGAGAAATTGGATGGTGTACCTTCAGAGCTATATCAATTCGCTCTTGTGAGGAAGCACTTTCTGCCTCCCCATAGCCATTGCGCGCGGCGATGGTAATGCATATTGTCTGTAGCACACTGAAGGCCTGCGTTGGAGTTAGGGCTTGACACGCCAACGAAAGTTTTGAGACTCACCATTGATACCGAGATCAGGTGGTCATCTACCGTAAATCTTCTAGTGATGGCATATTTGATCCCCAGCCGTGCAGCCCCAGATAATGTCGAAATGACGGCGAAAAGCAACGCTAGGATCCCTATGATAGGGGACCGATTGGCGTCAGTGACCGCAACCATGACTGCCACATCTGTTGCTGGGCTGCATCCCGCGAGTCTGGGACCGGAAAGAGCAGCCAGGCTGATAAAAGGGAACAACGCATCGTAGTTGCAAGGCGACCTGAAGGATTCGTTCGATCTTTTTTTATTTGAATTTTGTTGGATTATTAGCAATCTCAGCCCGGCGATCCTAACCCCGACGAAGGATCGGGGTGGAGGCGTCTAAATCCGCTAGGGCCGCAGTAGCCAGCCCACCAACCGGCGCCGTCTCATGGCTTGCATCACGCAGTATTTTCTCCCTTGCGTGCCGCACTTTTATATAGGGGCCAAATTGCTAGGGGGTGAGGCACACAGTTCAGGAGAGACCCCTGAAATCGGAGGCTCAATCAAGCCGCCGACCCATCCCACACATGCTTCGAAGACTGTGTGCTGACTGATAGACATTCAAAGACCCCGGACTTTGCCCGGGGCGTTATCTAATTGACGCAAGTTCAATATGACAGTGATATAGTGCTGGTGGGGTTGTCTCACAAGCTGGAGGGGCCGGGCCATGGGCTAACCTCGGGGAATCTCTCGGGTGTGGTGGTGTCAAACTCAAGACCAGGCTGTTCTGTCTGAACCTTCACCCCCTCTTCCTTCTTTGCACGCTATCACTACTCCGTGCTATTACTGTCTTGACAATCATTTTGCGTCGATCTTCCCAGTATGGTGGCAAGTACTATTCAGGAGGGAACAGCTCCGTTCCATTATTATAGTCTTCCCCAGCCTGCCCAAACGTGGTACCGAGTCTATGGCGACATCAAGGCAGGCACACCATTAGTAGTTCTGCATGGCGGCCCGGGCTTTTGCCACAACTACATGCTGCCCCTGGCTGCACTGGCTTCCGATCGTGCCGTGATTTTCTATGATCAGATCGGAAATGGATTGTCCTCCCACTATCCGGAGAAACGCGGCGATCAGGGGTTTTGGACGGTCGACCTATTCATCGCGGAGTTGGAAAACCTGCTTCAGCATCTGGGAATTGCTGGCCAGTTTGATCTGCTGGGTCATTCCTGGGGCGGGATGATGGGGATGGATTTCGCCGCTCGTCAGCCGGCTGGACTGCGCCGTCTGATCCTATCAAACTCTCCGGCCTCGGTCGCAGTGTGGCTTGAATCGGTCAACCGACTCCGCGCTACCCTACCCCAAGAGATTCAAGACACGCTGCAAAAATGTGAAGCAGAAGGACGGCTCGATTCTAAGGAATATGAAAATGCAACGGTGGAGTTCTTATCCCGATTCTGTTGCCGGACGCAGCCATGGCCCGAGGAGCTTATGCAAAGTCTCGTCTGGACCACGGAGAAGGATTCTACCGTCGCTGCCAGCATGTATGTTGCACACTTGCCCGAGTTCTTTCTCCGTCTACCATTATACTCCGTGTTTTCCATGATGCCACGTGCTAACGGCAGCAGGCTCGGTCCCTCCGAATTCTGGGTCGAAGGGTCTCTTAAGAATTGGAGCGCACTGGACCACATTCATCGGATCCAAGTTCCCACTTTGGTGATCAATGGTAAATATGATGAAGCGCAGGACAGCGCCGTGGAACCGCTCTTCTGGGGTATTGATAAGGTGAAGTGGATCACCTTGTCGGAGGGTTCGCACTGCCCGCAGTTCGACGACCGCGAGAAGTACCTGCAGGTTGTTGACGAATTCTTGGGCCGCGCATAGTGTTGGGGGGTGTTTCTTCGAGAGGGTCGCCTATCGATTTTTAGTTTTGAGCTACAAGGGGCCTGAAGAAAGTCCGTGCCGTTAGTTTCAGTTGGTTGCAGGAAACCAACCGACTAGTATGAGATGGTTGATGTGCTAATGTGAACTGATTTATGACCATTGTTCATTTTGGCATTAGCCTGCATGACCAGGTATCTGTTGTGAACAAATTGCTCGTAGACAGGCTTGAAATGCTCTTAGATTGGAGAATGGGTGTATGGCTAGCAAGGTAAAGAGAAGATGTGGGGGGGTAATCCTTCGGCGGTGGTGAGAAAGCTTCTCTAGTCCGTTCTACAATGTCGGCCTTGCTGCCTCGGGAGTACTTTCTGTCGAGGAAAGGACAGCACTGCTGATAAGGTCGAATTATAGGAGGTGTATATCTAACGAACAAAAGAGATGCCCTTGACCTACCTTGTAAACAGACTTATATACTCCTCTAACTAACATTGTACAGCCAAGCGACTGTATTGGGTGAAGTCTCTAAAAATGCAAAAAGAGATGACAAGAGTGGGATTCGAACCCACGCCCCTTTCGAGACTAGGAATGCTCTGAAGAACATGGATGATCAGGTGACCTGACCCTAGCGCCTTAGACCGCTCGGCCATCTTGCCGGTTGATGAAAATTAGTCACCAGTAAGTGCTATATGAGCTTATCGTCGTATATGTGAGAAAAGCACGCTACGCGGTTGGCATTGAAGACTGGATAGTCATGATTTGCACTATCAACCTAAATTATTGCATGTAGCAGCACCTAAATCACCTCGGCTTTGTATTATGTGCTCGAATCTGTTATTTTAGATGCATTTACACTGTTGGTGCTGATGTTGACATCAAGTGGCTGATTGACCTTTTGGGTTGGTATATATACCCATAGGAACCTACAGTGCTACTAAAGGCAGTAGTCCATCGATTCTACACTTCAGCATCACCCACCCTTCAGTTGATCCGTTGAAAGCATGAATAGTAACCTGAGTAACAATATAAAAAAGACACGCTCAATGTACACAAAAGGTGAAATCCGCAGGATGTACATTGCACCAGCATACAAGCAAAGCTACGCCGTCCCTGAAGGCTCCGCCAACAATGCTATAGCAAACCCAATCACCAACAGGACAGATGCCACCAGAAACAATTCCAGCAAAACAGCTGCAGCAAGAGAGATAGTACTATTAGTGTATATAAACGCTACAAAGGCATTACCAAGGAGACAGCTATGGTAGCCCAGCAATAGATTCCCCGTGCCATGTTTACTTCCCAGCCGACGGCAGAATGCCCACCCACACCGCAACGACAACACCGGAAGGTCCTACATAGAACAAACACGATAGTCGGGGATAAAACTATACTAAGAGACAATTGAAAGACAGCATAAAAAGAAATAATACATCTTCTAAAAAGTATTGCCTTTGAATAAAGCAAGCAATAGACTAGTAAACTAGTTCGCATAATACCCCACTGCATGCGGTCGCATCCTGGTTGTGAATGTTATAATATGACCTTGGATTATGTATGGAAAAGTTGCTGCCCCTTTCAACAATTGGGCAAGATGGCCGAGCGGTCTAAGGCGCTAGGGTCAGGTCACCTGATCATCCATGTTCTTCAGAGCATTCCTAGTCTCGAAAGGGGCGTGGGTTCGAATCCCACTCTTGTCATACATTTTTCTTCCCTCTACATCCATACAACTCGTTCTTCTCCCTCACTTTCTTATCCTTTTTTGTCCCCTTTCCTCCTTACTCCTGTCACTTCTGCTTCGACAGCAATCCTACATGACTCCTATGTCCATTAGCCAAATATCCAACTATCAGGCTGTTTATGTCCTTACAAACGGTCCTCTATCTCTCGCATCGCCGGTTCACAGCGGCAGTGGACAATGAAGTCATGGGTATCTCTTATCGATAACCTTCTTTTAACCCTAACGCCAGCGGAAAATGACAGCTCGCACGTGCAGTCATGTAGGTGGTCTTTAGGGGCTTTCGCTACGCACCCTGTTAATTCGGGAACGAATATCTACGGGGGCCACTGCAAAGGATGTTGCCGAGACCTCCAAAGACCAACAATTCATATCTCACTAGATCAATGGATTACGAGCGCGCTGATAGAGGTTTGCGGGGAACAGGGTATCATTTTATGATCGCAGCCCCAACTAGCTAAGCACAAAAAGCCGGAACCCAAAGGTAACGGAGATACAAAGATGCTCATTCAGTGAGCCCTAGAAACGCAAGAAGAGACAAAGTAGCGTGAGAAGAAGAAGGGAAAAAAATATAAGGAAATACTTTGATGCCCACCCACCCAGCCCTAAAAGGGGCGGAGAGAATGCAAGAAAAACGTAGGAAGATACAAAGATGCCCGCCCACCCAACCCTATAAGAAATGAACAGAACGCCTGCAAATCGCAAGAGAAAAAAAAATAAGAAAACAAAGATGCCCACCCACCCGACCCGGAAAAAGGAGAACAGAACGCCCACAACGCAGCTCTAACTACAGCAGACACTCGACATAGGCAAGGAAAAAACGGCAGCGAAACATAAGGGAAAAAAACAAAGATGCCCACCCACCCGACCCGGAAATAGGAAAACAAAACGCCCACAATGCAGCTCTAGATACAATAGAGTCTCGACCCAAGCAAAGAACCGAACGCCAAGCAACGCAGCTCTACTTACAACAGAGACTCAACACATGCAACGAAAGGCAAGAAGCAAGCAAGATGGCAAGCCGGCAAGCAAGCACTATATACAACAGAATCTCGACACATGCAAGGAAATAAACGCCTGCAAGAAAAGCAGCTCTATGTACAAGAGGTATCTCAACACATGCAAAGAAATGAACGCCAGAAAGCAATACGACTCTATATACAAAAGAGTCTCGAAACATGCAAAGAAATGAACGCCAAGCAACGCAGCTCTAGTTACAACAGAGACTCCACACATGCAAGGAGAATGAACGCCAGAAAGCAATGCAGCTTTAGTTACAGCAGAGACTCAACACATGCAAAGAACAAACGACAAGCAACGCAGCTCTATGTACAAGAGATATCTCAACACAGGCGAATGAAAGGAAAAGCAAAGCAGCTTTATATACAATAGAGTCTCAGCACATGCAAAGAAAAGCAAGAAGCAAGCACGCACTATATACACCAGAATCTCGACACACGCAAGGAAATAAACGCCAAGAAGCAAAGCAATTTTATGTACAATAGAGTCTCGACACATGCAAAGAGAAGCAAGGAGCAAGCAAGCTGACGAGCAGGCAAGTCAGCAAGCAAGCACTATATACAACAGAATCTCGACACACGCAAGGAAATAAACGCCTGCAAGAAAAGCAGCTCTATATACAACAGATTCTCAACACATGCAATGAAAAATGAACGCCCAATGCCAATAGCCAAGAAAAGTAAAACGAACGCCCAATGCCAATCGCCGAAAACAAAGGAAAGACAAAGGAAAACCCCCCAACCACCGCCCCCCGGATCCCCCGACGAACAACCCCCGCGAACCGTTTCCGACCCAGATTCCATCGATCGCCTCTGTCGCGCCCCCGCGATACCGTGGCCCTACCGACACCCCTTGCCCGCTGGCTAGCTGCTGACATACTGACCGTGTATGTCGTCGCTCGGGCATCCTTTGAACCGCCGGCCAGATCGATACCCGGTAAGCGTGGATGACAACTTCACCAAGCTTTGCTGCCCACACAAAGCCCAGATCCACCGCCAACCTTGAACGCTATCAGGTCGATTGCCTCTGTCATTCTCGGAGATGCCTCTGCTCAGACACCCGGGGTACCGGAAACTAGTGTCACAGCGGGGTCGGAAATGCCGGCGGCTCGTAAGCACCCGAGGGTTAGCCGGTACGAATCGATGTTGGTGAACCTGTCGCCGGCTCGATCATTCGTGGATGGCGTTCAATGTCGTCTCTCGCTCGGACCTGTGACCTGGCCATTAGCAGTAAAGGGCCCCGACCTGGCTCCAGCACAGCCAAGTCGGGGGCAATGGATAAATATACAAAAATAAAATATACAGGAAAACGAAAGTGCTCAAGGAAAAGCCTGCAACAATGAGAAAAGAAAAGGGAAAAAGACTAGTACCAACAGCAACGGTGGATATCGCGCGCTTTGATAATCCACCGACTAACGGTAATGACTGTGGTGACCTCGCTAAACTGGACACTCTTCACCGACTTACCCTTGCGAGCCGCGGACTTCGCAGCCGAAGCTGCTCCATCCTCGGTGGACGCAAGGGCTGCATCGGATCGAGCCCTGGCCTCGCGGGATCGGTAATACGCCTCCCGCAACGCCTGAAGGCGAGACGGACGACTATTACCAGAAGGAGTGGACGTGGTCCGAGGAGCCACAGGAGAAGGAGTGGACGTGGTCCGAAGATCCACGGGGGAACGAGTGGATGGGTGCTTTTCGTCGAACCTTTTCAGGAACGACACACCCGCGGAAAGGGGACGGGGGGAGGGAGAGGACGTGGCCTTGGGAGCCACAGAAGGAGAGGACGTGGTCCGAGGAGCCACAGAAGAACGAGAGGAAGGGGTGGGGATAGATGAACGAGTGGACGTGGCCTTGGGAGCCACAGAAGGAGCGGACGTGGTCCGAGGAGCCACAGGAGAAGGAATGGACGTGGTCCGAAGATCCACGGGGGAGCGAGTGGATGGGTGTTTCTCGTCGAACCTTTTCAGGAACGACGCACCCGCGGAAAGGGAAGAGGAAGAGGGAGAGGACGTGGCCTTGGGAGCCACAGGAGAACGAGAGGACGTGGTCCGAGGAGCCACAGAAGGAGAAGAACGAGGGGAAGTGGCGCTATGGCCATTGGCACTAGTCTTTTGGGGGGCGGAAGGAGAGGACGTGGTCCGAGGAGCCACAGGGGAACGAGCGACAGGGACGGGGATAGAACGAGTGGAAGTTGGGTGTTTCTCGTCGAACCTTTTCAGGAACGACGCACCCGCGGAAAGGGGACGGGGAGAGGGAACGGACGTGGCCTTAGCCACAGGGGAACGAGGGGCAGGGGTGGGAATGGCGGAACGAGAGACGGGGGTGGGAATAGAAGAATGAGAGGACGTGGTCCGAGGAGCCACAGGGGAGGGAGTGGACAAGTGCTTGCTTGTACGCAAGTACTTGGGGGCAGTGGGGGCAGGCACCCCAGAACGAGAGGACGTGCTCACCATGGTGGGCACAGACGGAGCGGAACGAACAGAAGGACGTGCTGGATCCTTCTGACCGCTGGGGGGGAGAGAGGAGGAAGAGGAGGGGGAGGACAGAGGTACACGCAGACGGGCCATCTGGTGTCCTCGACGAACAGAGGAACAAGTATCCATATCGGAGGGGGGGAGGAAAAGGTAAACCAAGGCAATAGCAGAACAGCAGAAGCAATGAGTCTGATATCGGTAGTGGTATGAGGAGAGGAAAAAGAAGAAGAGAGGATCTCAAGGAGACGAGAAGAAGATATAGGAGACTGAAAAGATTGCACAGGAAAGAGCATTGTAGGGAAGGAAGCAAGAACATTATGAAGCTGAAGGAGAAGTGTCTGTAGCTCTTTCCCCGAATACCTTGGATTGTGATGACGGAGCCGTTAGGTTGGTGGTGTAATAATCTAGATTGTCTAGTAAATCCGGTATGTATTCATCTATACGAACTTTCCATATGAAACAGATGTCTCCAAGTGCATTATTTCTCCAAGGGAAATCCATATCCAACCAAGAAAGCAGGCTCGTCAATGCTGTGGTGCTGGTAGCTACAGACACCATTAGCGATCCATTCATATAAAACAGGAAAGAACATACCTAAGAACTCCCACAGCACCAGGTTCCAGCATCATGGACAACGGAAACTCCATCGGATAGCCCAACCAGCGCTTGGTAAACGCCCGGAGCGTATGGCCATGCGCAATGAGGACAACATCGGAGGGCGCCTCTCCGTGCATGTTTCCCCGATGAAGAGCTCTGATCTCTTCGATCAGGCTATCAATTCGGGCCGTAACATCCGCAGGTGATCTAAGCTGTTAGCCTCTCCAACAGAAAAGAACCGGATCTAACATGGTTATAGGAATGACTTACTCTCCCTCCTCACATCCATCCCTCCAGATATCCCACGCCCTATCACCATCGAGGCCATGCTCCTTCCTCAGCGCGCGAATCTCCTTGGTCAACATCCCCTCATACAAGCCATAACCCCACTCTGCCAGCCTTTCCGTCTCCTCCACCTTGCCAGCTTCCTTCAGACCCTGCTTCTCGGTCTCTCCGAAGGCCAAGTCAAAGGTGTGCTTTGCCCTTTGGCGCGGAGACACATACACACGAGCCAGTTTAGCTGTGTCAATAAGCTTACCAGCTCCTACGAGGATCTTGCCGGAAGCGGTCACTTGCTTCACTCCGTCGTCAGTTAGCTGAATTTCGCTGATGCCGGTGTAGCGGCCGCTTTTGGACCATTCGGTCTCTCCTGTGGGATTCTTAGTGGGGACTCATAATTTTGATAGATAGTGGATAGAGGGGTACCATGGCGGTAGAGGAAAACACGGGGCGTTCCGGCGTCTTTGTCGGGCATGGTGTTGGTGATGACGTAGCTGTAAGACTGGGATTGATCTAAGGGGAGATGGACTATGACCAGGGTAGTAGTAGTGGTAGTATCTGGTCTGGGGGAATGGCCAGATTGAGCGAGGGGAACGCGGGGAGAAAGAGAATTTTATTTAGGTAATGTTCTCGATGTGGGTTCGCGGTTCACCGGAGCTAAGATTGGGTTTGGGGTCAGATTTCCCTTCATAGGGTTTACTGCACGATCACGCGGGATGTTCAGCCATTGCACATGAATGGAATACCGGTGAAGGCTCGGTCTTCAGACAGTCTATTGCTTTGTCTATGAGAGTTTCCCGAGCTTCTTAGCTATTCGAATGCCATTTAATTCTAGTAATTTATTCCCCAAGGAAAGTGGGGTGGCGGGGGCAAAAACCATATTGATAACATTCAGACATTCGCGATAAGAGCCTTATCGTTTGTTGATCTCATATCGGCATTCGGCAGATGCGGGCTGGAAGGCACGTGCTCAGAGGAGCCGCTGTCACTGGCCTGAGGCTTTAAGGCAGCAGATATTGATGCCTGATGCTTTCATACTACTCATGCCAATCCCACAAGAAATCGAATACACAGCACCTATTGCTTCTTATTCTGATGCTTGTCTTTGGGTTGGCTATGCTAGTATACTTAGTGTCCATACGATACACTATGAACTATTCTTACTCATCAAAATCCAATTGGTACGTATCTTCTCATTCGAAGGCGACACTGCTAGCTGTGGACTATGGCATACCGACAATCAGTGCCAGTCAGTTATCAAGCAGCCGTCCGATGTAGCAGACCGTACACTGAAGTGCCATGACCTTACAAAAGTAGCCTATGACCACCAGCATAGAACTCGTTATAGAGGCTCACATATACAGTCAGCACTATGACCCTGTGGCTGTGCATGGCACATGCACTGCGCCCCGAATCCTTCCTTCCCACTGACCCAGTTAGTTACACATAAGGCTGTCCCAGGCAGCACCATTCCCCAGAATTGTAGATAATACTCCCATAACATTTCATCAAGTTGATCAATAACCCAGAGAAAAAGAGAAGAAGCAAAGCCTCTTACTTTACCAGAAAACACAAATCACCTCAATATGGGCCTTCCACCACCAACCGAACCAACTCCTCCATATGAAGAAACGGAATCGACTAGCCGCCACAATCACACCGTAAACTTCCCTAATGCCTTTTTACTGATACTCAGTGATGAAGTACAGTATACTAACAAGTCACAAACACACAGTACTCCACTCTCACTCAAGCCATCGATGACCCCGAAATCCAACTCCCATCATTCCACGAACATGATCATGGCGACGGGCCTACCACGTCCTTGATTCCAGGCGCTACCCCTCAAGAGCACTCACACTGCGAAGTGTGCGAGCGGATCATAAATCGGCGAGAGAGACGACAAGCCCATGCAGACTGCTGTCGGATAGTAGCCATGGTATTTGTGGTCATGTTTGTGTGTATGATGATACTGGGGATAGTTATAGCCAAGGCGGCATCGAGACGGGAATGATGGACACTTTGCCTTCATTTCAGAGGAGTATATAAGCGTATATACTGGAGGAATGACCCTTGAATTGTTGTTGTACAAACAGGACGGAGTGATATCTAGAGAGAGGAGCTTCGCTGGTTTGTGAACTTCCATTTACTACGCTGCCTGTTTCCGTGTTGGTAAAGAGTAGATGTAAGAGGTATCCATCAATGCTGAAGTAGTCCTCATCGATATGCTAGTAGAACTATAGTAGTTGGAAGTGTGTCTAGGAATACCGTGAAGAATGAAGCGTAGTTTTGTCTTCATACTAGAAGAGTCGCTCCGATCTGCGTTGTTTGCTGCACGTCATCGCTATCCTCCTACCTCTGCCCACACCAATATCAGAATGCTCCCCAGATTGCTGGACAGGTAACCTATACCCATGCATCCTATCCTTCATTTATGTGAAGGTTTTAGTAATCTTCTGTTACTAAGTGATCGAGACTGCCATCAGCGGCGAGTTCCTTCCTCCGTCGCCCACGTGGCTCGAACAGGAAACTATTTTACTCAATATACTCGTACCCAGGTCTATTATCGACTGCAGGGCGTTTCAGGAGTCGCTTAGATTAGCTTATACCAGATGGGAGGGAGACGTTATTCGCTTTCGTCTGAGGGCTACCCGCCGGTTAGACAGTGGCATGCTTCTGACATGTCTTGCTATCCTCGACTGCCCCTGAACAATCTTGAGAATCAGCTTCGCTAATTATTTAGTGATTCTAGAGCTCCCTACCAGTTTCCACAAACATTTTCGACCCCCCGTCTACCTTTATCACCTACTCATCAGCTTCAGCGTCCAACGCAAACGCCGGGCTATTCCTAGTCGTATTTCTCGCGGTCAGCACATTTGTGACTATGGTTCGACAATACCCCCAGACGCAACTGCTGCGCTACGCAAGACGATATAAAGGCAATTTAGTGATCGCTCAAATTGGAATATTCACTCTGATGAAGGTGTTACCTGAAGTATTACCAGCGAGGTTTGCGTGGTGCTTGGCTTTAGAATTCAATCGAATACCAATCGCTTATTGCAGCCTCCATTCAAGAAGTGGGGAAAAGCCTGACCCCAATGGCATGTAGTCGACTTCGCAACGGTCGATAGTCAAGGGAAATGGGCCAGTTACCTCCAAAGTTCGTTGACGCATCTCCTGGGACCCCTGGGCCGACAGAGGAACAACTCGATGTGCACTACAAACGCAGTCAGCCCTGCGATCTGGTCAGAGCACTTGGGGATGTTATGGCTACACTCCGTGGACGCAGACTTACCACGGACTTAAGAATATCAGATTTCACCCTGCCACACGACCGGACATACTGGTAGCTGACTTCTTCGTTAATGCGGCCAAGAACGCCCGAATGGAGTACAAGGTGCCCATTGTTATTGGCTGATCCCAGATGCCCTACTTGATGGTACCGTGGTCATACATGCCTGACCAACCAGGCTTCCAACTTGATATAATCTTAGGTTCGGGGAATGCATCAATGTAGTCGCGTATCAGCAATGGACCTGTAGTCTTGCGAGCCTTGCCCGAAGTGCCGAAACCAAGGACTTGGACCAAAGCTATGCGCAAATCATCGGGTCCGAATTACCTTCTTCTAACGCCGAAGGAACCTGATTACCTACTCCCAGTCAACTCTTTCTTCGATCACTTCGAGACCGAAGACCTTCCTCCCTTGGTCGCAGCAGTCGGACCAAAATAAGTAGATGAGTATCATCCATTGGACCTCCACTAGAAGTTCCCTGACCGCCACCAAAAAACCATTTCTATCGCCTCGGGGATGCATACTATCCTTCCTCACGCAGTTGCTCGGGAGGTTATTCAAGGTCTCGTCCACGTCATGGAAGAAGGCGTTGTCGACGGCCTGATTTGGTCAGTGGGTGAGAGCGGACGGAACGACGCACCAAAACATTTCACTATCCAAGAACAAACAATCAGCCTTGGGAAACTTTTTGACGGAGAACATGCCGACTGGATATTACCTTCCTTTGCACCGCAACGGTCGATCCTGGACCATCTTTATATCCGGACAATCTCACCCACGGAGGTGGGATTAGCACCAACAAAGGCCTCTGTCAAGGCAAACCGATGCTAGAAATCCCATTCTACTTCGACCACATCGGCAATGCGGCAGATTTGGCCGGCAGTGGAACGTCGGAGGTGCTCCACATGTTCCATTTCACGACTGATAGACTTGAGTCCTAGGCGAACGGATTATAGAGGATCGTGACGATGCGCGCAATGTGCACTGTCTCCAGCGTATCACCCGTGTGGATCCAGACGCAGGGTTTTGGGCGCTGATCCGATTGAAGAAGTTCTTTATGATACTGAAGCGAGGGTTGTTGATGGAAGGGAGATCCGTCCAATACATCTGCAAACATCGATTATGCCGATTCTGGCTTGCAAGGAACTGGGACTTGATGGCCGTTTCACAGTGGTGATGGGTTTTTGGTGGGGGCTTTTACTATGCTCGGGGGTTCGCTTGTAATCACTCGCAGGGCTATTGGTGGATTACTCAATTGCTTAGTTTGTTTTCTAGTTAGCTTTCTTCATCATAATACTGCAACATCCAAAAAAAAAAAAAAAAAGGATAAAAAAATATTTAGTGAATGTCCGCAAACCGAGTATTTCGCTCCTTTAGGAGATGTTACGTGACGGATTAGCATGAACGCGACTTCCTGGCACATCAGCTCCTTCCATGGCTACTAGTAGGACGCCCGTGACACAATTTCCGTTTGTCTGTAGTCGGAGCTCCACAAAGGTTGCACAACTTTGCTATCAGCAAGGATTGTGACATCAAGTACGGTATAAGCTTTAACATCCTCATGATGAGGGGCGGAGTGAGTTCTCAATGTGCAGTTATGGTTGATGTTTAGCTAAGACGTTCATGTCAGTTATCCTTCGCCACCTCTTCCAAACCTCAACATACAACCATCCCCTTAAGATCAGAAAGATCGAATACTGTTGGGACACATATCTCTCCGTCGCCTGGCTGACTTGTGCGATATATCGTTTTTGGTCTAGCGGTTAGTGCTTCGACAAATACACATACGGTTCTCTCTACGTACGACAAGTTTGCCCAGTTATTTGATGAATTTTGGTATATTCTCGAATGACTCGAGATACCGGTGGCGCAGGTGAGTGAGTGAAGTGCTCTCACGTCTTCGCGCAGAAGAGACCATGTCGAGCATATACATTCAGCGCAGAGAAAACATACACAAGCTAATTACCCAGGACCTGACAGGCTCTATTTATACCAGCAAGACCTGATGAATAAAAACTATATGCGTCACCTCATAATATCTCCGTATCATCTCAAAACCCGCAGATCCCCGGGAACCTCGTCCGCGATTCATGTAGACTAACCTATCAATGGCTCACTTGATCAGATCGAGATTCATGTCAAGACGAAGGGTCATAGATATATGGATTTGATCTATCTAGATCTCAAGGGGCTGGGTGGTTGATTGGTTGAGGTGGTGGTCGGAGGCCACGCACGAAGAAGACGCGAAGGATCAGCTGACATCTGCCTGGCTGCAGTGAATGCCTCAACAATTTATCGTACCTGATTTAATATGAATTGCTGCAGACTGGACGCTTCACTCCTCCAGGAATTCTCGAGCAACGGATCAGCATGAATGCACTCTTCTGCCAGATTGGCTCCTTCTATAAATGTCTAGTTCATTGTGACGAAATTTCGCAAAGCCTGCAGTCGAAGCTCCATGTAAGTTGCTTGAGCTTGTCACGGGCAGCAACATGTTATCTCATAGTATCATAGTCACCACCGTTGGCTTATACTGACGTGCGTCATTGCCAGTTCCCACGAAAGAGCCACGTCTCACGTTTACTTCAATCATAGGTGACTCCTTGCGACCAACAACCCCCCTACACAGGAGCTTGAGATAGCGGTGGTGCAGGCGAATCTGTGGCATGGAAAAAGCATGGGGTTGATCGTGAACTTTCCATATTCTTTGCGTCAAAGACACTATACCGAGTATCTGCGCTCAGCCAAGACAACCCCTGTGGACCTGATAAGCTATATCTTTCTACCAGCAGGGCCTTCTCCCAAGTGGAAACAAACTGCGTACCACATCATTCACGAATCATCTTCAACACCCAACGAACCTCATCCGCAATCAACTCCGGCTCCGTCAATTGGATATTATGCCCACTCCGCTTCGTCACCGAATACCGCGCAACACTCGACAAATTCAACAACTCCCGATGAAACTCCTCTTCACACCTCTCCCACCTCGCCAGGCACTCCCTGAACCTCTCCCGCTGCGCATCCGTACCTCTCCCCTTGGCTACACCAGCCTCATACAACAGCTCATGATCCCTCTTTGAATTCCCTCCCAGCATACTCAACGGCTTTCCTCTCATAACATCCTTCCTAGGAACAAGTTGCTCCTTCTCTGCTAGTACACCCCGACTGACCTGCAGAAACGGCATCTCTAGTGCCGCCTGTTTCGCGTGCTTTTCACTATTTTCCTCAGCCATCAAATCGTCCCATTCTTCATCAGTCAACACACGATCGCGCACCAGCCCAACAACATCCATGTAATCCAACCCATCGGTGACAGCAGCAATGCTCGGATCCGGCCACGTTTCCATCATCATACGCTCCTGCACTGGATCTACGAGCACCATGCCGCAGATATCGTCTGGTCGGGCGGCGAGGAATTCCCGCGCCAGGATTCCGCCCCAGGAGTGTCCGATGACGAGGTATGGCGGGGCTAGGGCTGCGGCGTCAAGGAGATGGCAGAGTTCGTAAATGACGGTAAGAGAGTCGGGTGGGTTTGGGGATGGTTCGCTGCGGCCGTATCCGGATCGCTCGTAGAGGAGGATGGATGCGTCGGTGGAGAGGTGACGGCATACGGCGCTCCATTCTAAAGCGCTGCTGGTAATTCCAGTTAGGATTATTACGAGCGGAGTGTTGGGTTGGCGGGGTGGGCCGCGGAGGGCGTAGCTGAGGGTGTGGGTGCGGATGCTGGCTGTGTGGTTGAAGTGGTCCATGGTGTGGTGGTATGCAAAGAGAGATAGAGATGAAGTTATGGGAGGGATGATGGGAGTCGATTGAGAAAGACGAGGGAATTGGTTCAGCATTGGAGTTAATTTATATTGTTAGTGCTTATTTAGTGAGTCATTCATCCAAGGGGCTAGTAATTGACTAGTCGAGTTGATGGCCCGATAGGCCCCTTTGAGCTTGGAGGATGATGCTTCAAAGATACTATGGTTTCCGTATCGATATGTGGCCTGAGATTCATCGTCTCTCTAAGATGGGAGCTATATAGACTGCCTATAACTATTACGTCTTGTGACAGAGGTATTGGCGGATACAATTCCATAACGAGCCTGAAATAATAAGACAAGACTAACTCCTCACGAGCTAAAGAACCCTCTACATTGTGGACTCCTATATGTTACCCCGCTCCAGAGAGGGAGATCATCAACAATTGTACGAGTAACGTATTGATTATTGTTGCCATAAAAGATAGATAACAATGACAGAAGTCCAATTGGACACATCCGGATAGTGGGCCTAGATATAGAATATCTTCTCAAGAACACGAAACGAAGTTCATGCAAGTGGCTTCTGACCCACAGCCGTTATGATCCGGTTCTGATGAAAGACAACACCCTTCTCCGTCTCCTTAACCGCAGCAGAAAACATCTCAATCCAAGCCTCCCGGGACAGAGGCGCATTGGGAGCATCAGTCTTGGTTGGAAACAAAGGAGTCAGGTCTTCCAAAACCATGAGATACGCATCAGTCCAAGCCTTATAGTCGATCTTGCGCTTATCGTGTGTAAGAAGGCGTACATCCTGGAACCCGAATTCCCTCAGGGGGGTATCGAGCTCATCTATCCAGGCGTAGCTAATGCCTTTGGCTTTAAGACCGCCCTTAAGCACCTGCATAACGCTTTCGCAGGCTGCAGTAGGGATCTTAGAGCTTGGTGCTTCGACGAGGAATATGTCGCCGCGATTTTCTTCCCACTGCAAGTAGCCACCGGGCTTCAAGAGTGACGAGGCCACGGATAGTGTGGGAGTAAGAAGATCAGTGCCTGAGACAGTGCTACCAAAGGAGCGGATGTGCACCACATCGTAGGTGCCGAGAAGGTGGGCGGGGAGGGGATTGGCGAGGATGTCTAGCTGTTGCAGCGAGATCGAGGGGGGCAGGTAGGCGGGCGCCGGGAAGTGGGTAGGATTGATGTCGAAGCCGTCAAGCTGGGCAGTGATATTTTTGCTCGATAGCTCGGTGTGTAGCTGTGTAAGCCAGATGCCGTTACCGCAGCCGAGGTCAGCAATTTTCAGAGGCTGTTGGGCGGCGGTCACGGCCTTCTCGATGGCGGGCTCCAGGAGATAGCCAGTGGTGTTTTGGTAGAGGAAGTGCTGGAGGTGCAAGCGGGCAGAGGATCGGAAGTTCCGGTCTGGAGAAGTCCAGTATGTGTACTGGTTGTAGTTTTCGATATGGGAAGTGACGGTCATTTTGGCCAAGTGCAAGGAGGAGAGTTTGTTGGGATGAAAAGAAGAACGTGTTCAGTATGGCGCATGCTCATCCTTAAATAGTTCTTTGTTGATACCCTAACACACTTCCAGGCTCATGAGGAGACGCATCATTTGCCCGTTACTGGGGAGTGTAAAAGAGGCGTACTATTCCTCAGCCGGATTAGTGCTTATACGATGTATCATAGTTCAGGCTGGTGTATGCTAGCATCTCTAATTCGTTGTTCACCGCTCACTGACCCCTACACCGGCCGTTCGAGGTCGGTTAAGAAGCCGACATGACAGGCATCATGACTCAGTTTCGCCCGACGCACAATCCTTGAGATAGAGCCCATCCAGTGGTAATTGTTCTTCGACTTCCCGCTCCCGCCCCTTCCTTGACAACCGACAATGCAGGCCAGCGTGTCAATAGTCCATAGGGCGCTTCTGGACAAAGAGGTCATCCCCACTTTAGATGAGGGGTCAGTGCAGCTTGCGGGTGAGAAAGTACACTAAATTGTGATTGGACAATTGGGTCTTCGATGAACATGGGACTGATGCTGTACATTAACATAGCTATGACTTGGTACGATAACTTTGATCTGAACTGGAGGACTACAGAATAATTGAATGGAGCTATCTAGTTACTGGTAATCTACAGACCTATTCAACAAGCCGGGATTTCTTGTCCATGACAACCTGAGATACTCTCAAACAATATTCCCTACATATGAGCGCATAAAGCAAAGCGCAAGAAGCGACATGACCAGCAGAACAAGATTACTCAAAAGCTAAAAGCATTTGATTGATGGCATAGCACGGAGCGTATACACACAGCATCAAATACGAGAAGAGCTGCAGGTGAGCAAGCCAGAATCGGCGTATGAATCAATCACAAAGGACCATAACTTGAGGGTGTGAAGAAAGAAGGGGGGTGCGGGAGGGGTGGACGTATAATCGAGCGAAGAATGGATGGGTGAAGCTGCCAGACCAGAGTCTTGTTGGACCTTATCAAGATACTCCACCGCACTCAGTGGTGCTCATTACACCATCCCAAGCCAACATCCAAAGCTGTGTATAGCACTGCACCCCCTCGCTAGCTTACAGGAGACTAACCAAGGTGGGGTTGTTAATATCCCATTGTTCCTACGGCAAGCAACTGACGAGAGCTCGTGCGTGCTGTCAGCCCCTCCAGCAATGACTAACTGAGCTTTGCCATGTTCTCCACCGCATTCCAGGTCCACAGTTCGAAGGAATGAGGGCCCGAACCTTAAGGCTTTTCAACCTTGAGAATATCGGGGCGGGGATATTATGACTGGGGTCTACTGTTTGATATAGCAGCCGCTAGTAGTTATTTTCTGATTGCCTGCCTTGATCGTTTTTGGCTGTAGGAGGGTAAAACCCAGTGACTAGTAATAACTAGCGTGGGTGAACATCCATAATCACTAGTTATTTAGTGGGAGGAGGCATCAGTAATAAGACGATAGATAAGTGAGGCGTGGTGAGGGGAGCCCGGCAAGTAGCACATGCATGATTGGATTACCTGCCCGTCCCCCTGTATGAATCCCTGCTAGAGGGGCGCTTAGACCTAACAGCCAAGAAACCACGTTAAAGTGGAGAGAGAGAAACAAAGGAATTTTTATGAGACTAAGAGCGGGATTGTCAAATTGATGGAGAATTTCTCATTTCCTGACCGGGCCTGTTTGGTGGTAGACTCCGCCTCCCTGATCTCAGCGACGTGTGACAAATTTCCATGTAGCATGCTTGTGGCGATATGGTCAAAATTGTCACCAGTAGACTTATTTTGAAGTCAAGCACCACTACCCTCATTCATTTCATAGTCCAATATCTCATAGCTACTGAACCTTGGTATCATAGCCCTAAAAATGTTCAAGTGCTATAATGCTTCAACTTGAAGATGGTCAAATTCGCCTCAAAGCTCCTCTTCCCCGGAGACTTCTTGCTTTCGATATAGCTCCTGCCTAAAAAATAGTACCGACCTATCTGTGCAACTATTCTAATGGATTCTCCGTTCCGGCGGCCCAGCACCACGTGGTACACCACGTTGCAGCAAAAGTAAATTCTTGACTGGAAGCCTCTGTTCGATGTATGTCCTGGCAGTTGAGCTTGTGATAAGGAATGTCATAATAGCCCGGCATGCATCCTCCTGACTGATCCCATACGACATCTCAATCACAGTATAGAGGTCTTCATCCCACAACGTTTTCTTCTGGGAGCTAACATAATCAATTACACAAATAGTCACTTTGTCAAGGGTAAGCTGCATAAAAAGCCCCCGGATGGTCAGGCAAAGTGATTTTACGTACAGAAATTATGCAACAGAAAGTGACGTTGGCCCTGGGATAGATGCAGTGCCATATTAGCATGGATCATGGATAGGGGTGAACTACCACGCAATCGAAATTGCCGTTGGCTAGTAATAAGTCGACCCGAGAAAAAAAAAGCCAGATGGCAAGTCCCTGGGTTGTTGCGATTTTCTCGAACTTCGAGGAGCGTTTACTTGCACATAATTTGCCCCAAGGGTCATCTGCACTGTTTTCTGCGTTGTAGCAGAGCTGTACTTATTTGGTCCGAAAAAAATCCGGTCAGGCCAGAGCGGGTACTGTTGGTCTAAGTTATAATGATATGGGATTTCAGGATTGTCCCTAGAAGATAGAGCAAGATATAGGAGGATCGGCAGGAATCGTAGTAATACACACAGTAGATAAAGGGAAAGAGAATTTAATCGCATCTGCTCAGCTTTGCAGATCTTACCCGCATCAATGACGCCTTCGAATCTCGCATTCACATCAGATTATGCTATCCTTAATTGTCCCTGAAACGGAGAAAGCAAATTTGGAAAATAAACCTAGACCAACTGGAGTTGATCGCAAAGAATAGATCGAGATGACAGGAAAACCGGCTCTGACGATCGCAAAAACCAGCGTCGAAGAGTTTGCCGAAAAGCTATATCAGCACGAAAGGGTAGTCTGGAACGGTAGACAAATTCGAAAGGCCTCTGATATTGCGTCTTCATTGGCACGTCATGACAAGTATATAAATAAGCTTAAGCGGAGCCAGACATCACATTACATGCGTGGGATGAAAGGCAAGAATGACGATGAGATCGCCTTCATGAAAGGTAGTGGAGCCGACTTTGTCACCAAGCCTGTACCAGAGTAAAGGACTCACTCAAACGTCGGCAATCACTGTTAGTGTTTCCAATCTCTCGTGGCTAGTCAGCCAATGTTCTCTTTTCTTTGAAACAACGAAGCCTATTGTCACCCATAGCCACCCTTTACTAGCCCTGAGATGCGGGGGTTTTTGGGCTTGAGGGATTAGGTAAAGGATACACAGCCCTTTTTCTATTAGACTAAAAATCGACACGACAGTCGCTAGGCAGCATTTGTATTACTGGATGGATTGTATAATAGCAGAAATCTTACTGTCGCACTCCAGTAATATTTTCCAAATTTAAATAGAATGCCCCAGATGGACCACCCCCAGATCAGATAAGACAGGTCAGGTGGACAACTTGGGGTGGGTGGCGCCCACATGGCTTGAGGCTGCAAACGATCATCCCTTGCGGCGCCAAGACTTCTAAAATCGGATTGGCAGTTCGAGATCGGAGGCTGCCAATCACGTCCGGATTCTGACGGAATATAATTTATCGCCCGTCGCACAGCGTCATAAGATTGGACAAGCAAAACACTATAGACTGAGCTTCCATGTGATTGATGCGGAAGCCAAAGCTACATTTACTGTAATTATTTTCACGTCTGAAGTGAGATTTGGCAAGAAAAAATGAAGCTCATTGGCGGTTATGAAGTAGCTACTGTGGAGGAGACAGACAGATCGCGCAACTACGTCAATTCGAACCCACCAGTGCAAAAATTTCACAGTTTTCCGCAGGAAAACTCTTCGTGGAAGGGTTGAAAGCGGAATACGCGTGAGTTTCCCGCCAACCCATAATTGGCCCATGTTGGACCCAGATGGTATGATTCCCGCTCCCCACCCAATCAGCGGGCCTCAATGGTGACTGATGCAACGGCGGGGAGTAATCAGGTTTCGGACAGCAATACCCCGCGGTAAAGGACGGTGAAAACTCGATGTCAATGTCTGGGAGGTGCGAATTACAGTCACCACAAAAATTCAAGCTTTGATTCGATTATTCATGTGTTGCTGCTTCCCCTGTCTTGCGTCCAGTACAAGCTCGGAACGGCTCAGCTCACTATGGAGTCTTCAATTGGCAATTTAGAGGCCAACCTCCCCGGCAATGGGAGCAGTAAGTCCAACAAGGAGCCACTCCCCGCAAAGCTGAACGCCTGGGTCGATGGCAAGCTGCCCGACGCTGTGGACGATGGGGAACAGCAGATTATCGAGGCTGGAGAAGCCAAGTATCATCGCCTCGGCTGGAAGGGTCTAACGGTCATGCTCATTGTGGAGGCCATTGGCCTAGGATCGTTATCTATTCCTTCCGCATTTGCATCTCTCGGCATGGTGGCCGGCGTTATCTGCTGCGTCGGCATTGGCTTGATAGCCATTTACACCTCGTACGTGATTGGGCAGGTGAAGCTCGCCTTCCCGGCTGTTCGGGATTATGGTGATGCGGGTGCCTTGCTTATGGGTACCTGGGGTCGGGAACTATTCACCTTCATGTTGATCCTTCAGCTGATCTTCCTGACGGGTTCCAATTGCTTAACCGGCACCATTGCCCTTCGCCATATCACGTCTAGCGGCATCTGCTCCGTTGTCTGGAGCGTGGTGTCCGCGGTGATTCTTCTCTTGCTCTCCATCCCGTCCTCTTTTGCCGATATGGCCTGGCTCGGCTACGTGGATTTCGTTTCGATCGTGGCAGCTATTGGCATCACTATCATCGCTACTGGCATCCGGGGTACTGATTCCACTGGAGGCTTGGCAGCCGTGGACTGGTCGGCCACTCCTCAAGGCGATCCTACTTTCTCAGATGGGTTCATCGCGATCAGTAATATTGTCTTTGCGTACACCTTTGCCAGCTGTCTCTTTTCGTTCATGGATGAGATGCATACCCCTAGGGAATTCACCAAATCCATCTGGTCTCTTGGCATCCTTCAGATTGTTATCTACACTGTCACGGGCGCCACTATCTACGCCTTTGTGGGCACCGATGTCCAGTCTCCTGCCTTGCTTTCAGCTGGAACACTCGTCAGCAAGATCGCCTTTGGCATTGCCCTTCCGGTCATCTTCATTTCAGGCGCTATCTGCACCATCGTGGCTGGACGTTTGATTCACGGCCGGATCTACGCCAACAGTGTGACCAAGTACATTAACACGCCCAAGGGCTGGATTACATGGCTTACTGTGATTACTGTCTTGACCATCATCTCGTGGGTCATCGCAGAGGCTATTCCATTCTTTGATGATCTTCTCTCCATCACATCGGCATTGTTCACCTCGGGTTTCTCGTTCTACCTTCCCCCGATCATGTGGTATGTCCTCATCCGCAAGGGGCCATGGTACTCCAAGGAGAACCTGTTGACCAGTCTGGTGAATCTGTTTGTCTTTATCTTTGGTCTCATTGTTCTTGTTGGTGGTCTTTACTCGAGTATTCAGGATATAGTAAGTTATCTCCCCCTCACCTCTTAACTAATCTTTCACTAACCCTATCCAACAGCGACTTAATTACCGCGAAGGTGATGTCCACAGCCCTTTCACCTGTGGTGATGTTTCATAAAAGCTTTTTTTTCATCATTATATATTGCCCACACATGTTAATAGACCCTTGTACCGAGCCATTCGGCTTGATGATTCCCATGCCATCTGGAATGTCTAACTTGTCATATCTCACGAAGACATGATAACCGCCACACTGGCTTTGCATCGTTGGAAAAGAAAATACTGTATATTAGCTGCCTGTACATATATTGAGCTCTGTTGAAGCGGGATGCAGAGGACAGGACAGCCTTTACTCTGAGATTCTTTGTGTTGACTTTTGTCACTTGTTATTTCAATCCGCCACATGTCAACAACGAACATCACTCAGGCAGTGATTCTTATCTGTTCTTGGCCCGCAACATATTTACCATACTACCTTTCGGACTCTGTTCACAATAACAACTGACTCACACTTCAATTCGACCCCGTTCCGGAATTGATAGACGACCACACTCGCAATTTGCCATGATCAAAGACGTTATCTCATATACAACGGAACTGTTGAGCTCACTGTGACCATCTCATGATGACTCGCTATTACCTTGTTCTATGGAGCATCAAATTCTATAAGGAACCTGATATCTGGGTTCACATTGTCTTTTGGAATATAGATTCCTAGATAGTTGTTTATTTCACTACTAATATATATTACGGTAGAGCTGCCACTAATTGAACTCTGGAATAATACACAGCTCGAGCCTAATTATTATTCTTCCAATAAAGTATGCCAAAGGAAATTGGCGATAGCGAAAAGCAGAGTGGGCTACCCTTTCTTTAGGTAATAAAGTCGAGTGGGGACGTGATCTAAATTTGGAGATTAAGTTGAGTAAACTATCGCGGAGCTATATGCATACAATGTAGGTCTTTGGAAAGGAGGGAATGGTTGAGATGTAGCTATCCCAATGCCGACGAATAAATGCCAGAAAGTCATGAAGAAAAAAAGTGAGCACTCGACTCCGAGGTACATGGCCCACCTAGTTCGGACGTTCTGATGCCATATACTCTTGGGCTAATGAGCTCTAATAGTTTGATTTACTTCAATCATCAACACAGTAGTTCATCAGTCCCGAATATTCGTGAGAACATGAGGTAGGTGCTTCATTTGTCTCTCTCCGAACTTTAACCGCAGCTCAAACAGGGCCGGCCTAGAACTCCGCTTCCCGAGCTCAATCCATGGTACGGAGCTCCTTAGCAAGTGCGCGATTGTAGTCTCTTCAGATACATGTGAAATGTCTTGCAGCCCATCCCATGGGTAGTATTACCGGAAATATTTGGATCGCCGATCGGAGACCCTTCTATAACGGGCGCATCAACGATTCATGTATATTTGAATGTGCTTGTTCATGCCACCATGTAAACCAGAAAACATTCATATTGATGCAGTAGATTGCCTACATCAAGATTAGTATGTGCGGATCGAATAGACACTTTAGTCTCCAGGTGCTGTATATGCAACGTATAGAAGCGTGTTTGAGCACAGTCCGTACTCGGAAGGCACGTTCGGTTGAAGAACCCCGATCAATAAGCACCTCGCCAGTGTAAGATAAGACTAGTCAGAGTTCTCTTTGAATGCACGCATCCCTTACGCTCCCTTAGGATAACAACCGAACAAGAGGTATGTCATTGCCATTAACTCCTAACAATTGTGGCAGACTCATGTACAGCCAAACCAAAGCGCCATTACGCCGAATCCTGCCAATTCTGCACCACAAGCCAGGTAATCTTCTCCGTATGCCTCACCTCTTTATCCATCTCTCTTGCTTTCTTCAGCAGCTTCTTTCTCGCTTTCAGATCTGCAGTCTGCCCCGCCATCTCATACAACAGGATAGCTTCCCCACGCCAGAGCTCATGTTGAACCTCTGATACAACCTGCCAATCCCGAACAACCTTCGCCGCATCCCTCCGCACCTTTCCATTCTCCTGGCTCCATCCCCTCTTCGCCTCCGCCGCAAGATCTAAGTCATAAACATAGTCGATGAGCTGACATAGCTGTCTCCCAGGTACACGAACCCGCGAGCGCAGGCCCTGAACAAGGTCCGTTTTCGATGGTACAGTCCACCTCGGACATAGCGACGCACAAAGCGGGAACTTTGGATGAAGGCCCAATATCTTCCTCAGCTGCTTCCCACTGACGATCGATACTTCGAGATGTTTGGGATGGAACAGCAGCCGGTTAGCTCTGTTAAGGTAGGCCGTCCTCCGCGCAAACGGTCCCTTGATATATGCCATGTGAATAAGACGAGCTGTGAGGTCCGAACATTGTCCCAGAAGCGTGGTAATTTTCGTGGGGTCGATATGGTCAGCAAAGTGGATGACTTGACCGGCCTTTTGCATGTACTTCAGGGCTGTGTGTCCGGCCTGTATGATGTTCAGCTCGTCGATGAATTCGAGGAAGGCTTCTTCAGGGATCCCAAAGTTGGTTAGAATGTCGGTGTAGGCGCGGACGAAGGGGAGGTTTATTAGGAGTCGATCAGTGAGATTGCATACGCGGGGTATGGCTATTAGACGCTCTAAGGGTTGATAGTTTGGTGGTTGGGAGTCGGTGGAGTTTGTTTCAGTGGTTGTGGTTTCGTGGAGGTCGGCGGATTGAGTATCCATAGTGGGTGAGTAGGAGGGACTGTTTTTGGGCTTGGTTGAGGTAGGCGTTCATCATGGAGTGTAGAGGTGAAAGTTGTAAGGGTGAGGCTTTGTGGCTGTCATGCTATGCTCGGTCTTTTATGGTTCTCTCAGTGAGCCTTTCCCCTGATTATTAGGCAAACAAACTTGATACTTCTGACGTGTGGCAGACTGCGTCTAGATCCTCATATCTGGGCACGATCGTAAAACGTATGAAAACTATATGCACCGCCGCGATGTTTGTGAGATGTCATTGAGCTATTGGTCGCCCAGGTCATGTTACGAAAGAACAGCTTCAGAGGCTGGCCTGGTCAACTGACAGCTCAATGGAAGTCGGAGCCGATGATCGTGCAAGCACAAAATTAGGTTCTGTTTACCAAAATTGATCGTTAACGGGGTTGACATGTTGCTTGGAACCAACGACAACCCCTCCCGGCGATTAGGATTCCAGGCCCGCCACATCCGAGCAATGGTCCCGAAGCGAGCAATTTTAAGCTAGGGGGGCAACCCCACTAGGTTCCAGAGAACATTATTAGTTGGTATTTAAGGTGCTCACTCGTAACCAAAAAAAAGTTCACGAGGAAGTTTCAACCTAATCATATGATCTGTCATTTAGACCACGTCTCTCTTGCGTTCCATCCAGGGTTTTGAGTCAGGATCTCGTGCACCCTTCCTCTCCTGTGGTCTATCGCAATCATGTTCCCATCGTTGAGACCTAGCAGAAGCCAATCATGAGAGGACACACATAGCATTAACTCGCCCAATACTGGCTAGGTATCTATTTTCAGCTCCTGAACCAAAATCTCAACCATAATCCCCCTCATGATCCCTGACAGTACACACATACCTAATACCAGCTAAGTTTCATAAGACATAAAAGTCCCACAATATGGAACCCATCTCATCTCCCAAACAACCCCATATGGTGCATACCTCGCATTCATCCCATCAACATAAGTTCGCAGCCGATCATTAAACCGATCCACCGCGGCACCGTAGAAACAAATCGATAGCCCGCATGTGAAACACACCAGAAATATCTCCCTACTTTGGTCTTTGGAGAGCCGTTCTGCCATATGGCGGATGATGTACATGTCTTGATCCCACATGAACTCGGGTACTCCACGTCGTGCTAAGACTGGTGGGAATCCGGTGGGGAGACCGTTGACTGTGGCGGGGAATTCGACCCTTTCGTGGTCGGCTTCCACGATGCTGATGTTGGCCATATAATTTTGGTGTTCCTTTGTGGTAGGTTAGTCTCGAGTATTAGTGTGTGGAAAGAAGACTTGCAGTCAAAGAGATCGAGAGCGGATGTGGTAAGCTTTTGCGGTCTGTGCGATGTCTGTCAGGTCGTGTTGAGGTTTAAAGGTAATAGTCCATGAGAAAGTGTTTTCTATAAATACACTATATACTATACTACCAAATCTAGAGACTATTTTCTTGGGAAAATAGATTCGATAATAATGGACAATCCACGAGATGGCCTGTTCTAGACTGTATTTTCGCCATATAGGCAGTAGCATTTGAGGAAAGGAACGAATAGTACTCCGTATACTGCGTACCCGAGAAGAGATCCTTGGGTCAGATGTCCTCGGGATATGCCATTGGCCTATGGTTCTACGCCCAAGCTCAAAGTAAGGAAACACAGTTACAGCAAGGATGAGAAACAGTATAGATATAAACGAGTCATTTCAGGCACTGAATGTACAACATCTCTCTCATCAAGCCAACGCTTCTGATTGTACCCTCCTACATGCTCCATGCAACTAATATTCCGCTAAAGCCTCTCTCCAAACCCAACATATCCTTCACTCAGTGTAGCAAGGCGTCCGACCCTGCGCCGTAATGGCACTAATACACTCATATTTTCCTCCAGCATTGCACGCAGTACCGGCTGTGCCATCCGCATTGCTAACGCCGTCGGCCCGATGAGCTTTGGCGCAGATGCTGGTACAGTCTAACTCTCCGATGGTTGCATCCTGTAGGAAAGCTTATTAGCTTCTCGGAAATAGTATCGCTGTGTGGGGCAGTACATACCGAGTATACGCAGCAGTGACTGCTGTCGCTGAACTCGCACTGGCAGTATGTACAGGCCTGCGCGGTGAGGGCGCTGATAAGAAAGAGTCCGAGGGCCATGAGGTGGACCATGATGAATAGGAGTTTGGGTAAGAGTTTTGAAAGGTTTGACAGGTGTCTTTGCTGACTGAGTTGTATGGTTTAGTGGATAAGTCTCTTTGCAGTGCGACAGGGAAGGGCGCCCTTATATGTTCTTTCCTGGATTTCGGGGTGCCAGGATCATACGGACGAGTTCCCCGGCAACCCTAGGGCACCGCGAAAGGGATTGAATATGGGTATAGTGGTTCTTAGTTGCCCATATCTAGAAAAGGTAACTTCCACGGGTCGATGTAAAGGATTCATATGCGTAGAGTATATGAGGAAGACGGTGTTAATGCTGTCAGGATTGTCAACCTTCCCAGGAGTGGCTTAACACACTTTACATAGCTTTAGCTATCCACTAGCTACATGAAATGTTTTACCGATGATTTTCCGGCCCGTCTGCATTCATGTTCAGGGGCCTTTCGGTGACAGCGTTCGACTACCGCCCGAATCCTTCGGATCCTTCGCCTCTGATCCTCCGTAGCTTAGCAGCATTAGACCCACCCTCGCGGTGGATCATCTGGCGCCACAGCTTTCTTAGGAGCTTAGTGAACACTTTGGTGTTGATCGACAACTAGTCATTTGTGACTTATTGGACTTGTTTCATATCGAAGGATTGAAATCCCGTGGTGGTTCAGGACAAGTTTCCTTCAATAACCAAGGCAATTTCGCAGGAGTTGATGTAGGAGCATTGCCTTTTAAGATTTAAATTGGGAAACATGCCCTTTAAGTGCGAAGCTATCCTAAAGAGGGCTTTCGGCTCAGCATTTACTCACGAATCTCATCCTTTGAAGGGTGGCATTGTTCGAGAGATTTGGGAAGAAGTGATTCAGAATATTTGAGAAGTAGTTCAATTGACATAGTATTATAGTAAGATAGCTGTATATGTAGATCCCATCATCTCCAATGATATTCCTCACCATCCTGTAATTTACTCAACACCATCATACCATCACACCGCCAACCACATCAGCATCTTGTCACACCTAATCAACCTCCTCTTCCTCCTTACCCGAAGCCAAAAAGACCCTCCCATTGCCATTTTCTCCCCTCTCAAACTCCAGCGACAAGTTAGCCATATGAGCAAGCACATTCCCAATAGCCGCATCCCCTTTACTTTGTTTGCTCCTGCCCAAGTTATCCAACCAGGCGATCTTATTCAAAACGTAGTAGACCAACGCAATGACGATCTCTACCCCAATGCAGTACCCCCACAGCCGCACAACAGTGACGATGTCCGTCCACCCATTGCTCGTCTCTTTGCTGATATACTGATCGTACGGATCGGTAATCATATCACGGTTCGAGAACCATCCGAACAGACAGAAAATAGTAGCAAGGATATCGACACCCAAAATCGCCGCCACGAGAGGTAGAGATGGCCATGTGGAGCTGCCGCGGGTCACGAAGATTAGCCAGTTCTCTGTTAAGGCGACCTCCAAGAAGATTATTTCTTGGATGGAGCCCCAGTTTTGGACGATGCCGCCGTCGGGAAGGAACAGTGTGCCGCGGATCACCCATGTTCCTGCTGCGAGGAGGATTCCGAGGATGACGGAGATGACCCAGATTTTGGGGAGTTGCCATTGTACAGGGCGAAGTTCGTAGGAGGCATTGTCGTAGGCGACTGCTACAGTGGCCACGTCGGCGAAGAGGGCTAGGAAAACGACGAGGTCGGTACGGATACTTTCGTTCAGGATGATCATTGTCGTTACGAGATAAATTTCTAGGTGTAGACAGAGCGCTATTCGGTATTGGATGTAGGCTTTCATGCGATGGAAGATTTGGCGGGCGACCTGCTTCTTGTCAGGATGGATCAATTGCGGCTGTGGGATGGGAACAAGGGGTGACTGACCTTAATGGAATCGATGATGGTTGAAAGCCCTGGCTCCAGAAACACAATGTCCGATGCAGATTGCGCAGCCTCCGAGGCACCCTCCACCGCGATACCACAGTCTGCTTTCTTCAAAGACGGCGCATCGTTGACACCATCTCCAGTCATGGCTGTAAGATGTCCACGATCCTGGAGCATCTCAACAACCTGGTATTTGTGTTCTGGGAAGACCTCTGCGAATCCATCTGCTTTCTCTACCAACTCACCAGCCATGGCGCCGCTGAGACCACCACTGATCAACTTCTCCGAGTTGTAGACCTTCGTGCCCAGAGCCAGCATTTTGCACGTCTCCTTTGCAATAGCAATAGCATCTCCCGTAAGCATCTTAACCTTGATGCCTAGCTTTTGTGCCTCAGCAATAGTTTGAGCAGTGTCATCGCGAGGGGGATCAAACATAGGCAGCATGCCTAACAAGGTCCACTCTTCACCCTCTTTCTGAACAGCCACGCCAAGCGACCGGAAGCCACGCTGTGCGAATTCGGTTGCTTTCTGTCTGTACATTCTTGCAGTTTCCTCTGAGCAGTTGGTCAATGATAGGACTGCTTTAGGCGCTCCTTTCGTGCAAGTGTAGCGGGTGCCGTTAAGGGAGACATTCGCAACGATTCGTTTCGAGACCGGATCAAAAGGCGTGAAGTTCTCAGTTTTCCATCCTTGTTGGAGGATTTCCTTTGCCTTAGGGTATTGGTTGACCGACAGGATGGTAACCTTGTCAATGGGGTCGAGCGAGCGCACATTATGGGAAGAAGCGAGAGCAGCGACTGCGAACATCCAGTTCACGTCGACTCCTTCGGATACGAAAGGTTCCCGGATGCTGAGGCGATTTGCGGTTAGGGTTCCGGTTTTGTCGGAGCAAAGGATGTCGACACCCTATTTGTTGTGTTTTTAGTATCTGAAATGAAGGGCCAAAAGGGGCAATTTAGAAGTCGGGACCAGAACAAAAGGAGAGAATATGCCCCTAAGAATACTTACAGCAAGCGACTCAATAGCAGTCAATTTCTGGACGATGGCCTTCTTGTTCGCAAGATAAGCCGCACCGACCGCCAAGGTGGTAGTTGTAACAACAGGAAGACCGACAGGGACCCCGATGATCAGGATAGACAGGGTATAGAAAAGAAGAGTCTGTTCACCAGGCGAGGCGATGGGGATGTTTCTGAAGAAACCACCAATCCAAACTGCCAGCAGCCAGGCCATGACTATGACCAGCAAGGCAGTTCCAATGCTATCCATGACCATCTTGAAGTGGCCGGTATCTTTCGCATTTTGGACCATTGAAGCAGTGCGGCCAACGAAGGACTTCGTCCCAGTGGCTTGGACGACTGCGTAGGCTTTTCCACGCTTGCATCCTGTTGTGTAGAAAACTTGGTCACCAACGAATCGATCGACGGCAAGAGACTCTCCCGTAATAGCAGAATGATCGCAGGCCAGGATAGGATAGCCCTTCTCATCGTCGTCAGAGTCATCCTCGCCCTCTTCGTCATTGGACTTCTCGGCATCCTTTTCAAATTTTCCTTCGCTCTGCAACCTTTGGTATTCACTCCATCCTTGGTCGGGTTCATCGTAGTCACAGATCACCTTTGCATCGGCAGGGACAGTTTGGCCTTCTTCAACGATGATCTGTTGGAACAAAACATGAGCACCTGGTTGTTGAAGACATTTTGTAAGAGTAAGCTTACCACGTCGCCAGGAACCAGTTCCCGTGCCAAAATATCTTGCTCCTCCCCGTTACGAACAACAGTACTGCGCATGGCAATATCGGCCTTCAGACTGGCAACCACATCCTCAGCCTGCTTCTCCTGGTACCAACCAACTGCTGCATTCAGGCACAGAATACCGATAATAACACCGAAGTCGATCCAGTCCTTCAAACCCGCAGCAAGTAGGATCGCAATCTCCATAACTACAAACACAACCGTCAGCGCATTCACCACACCCAATCAGTAACAAAACCGATCATCAAATCTCACCATATAAAATCGGGCCCTGAAAATACGACAACAGCCTCGCAACCGGGTTCTCCTTCTCCGAGCTCAATTCATTGAAACCTGCCGATCGTCTCCTCGTCTCGACCTCCGACCCCGATAACCCATGATGGATATCAGTCAGGCGCCACTCTTCCGGAAATTCGCGCGACGACCCAACATGCTTCCAGCGAAATCTTCTCTTCCTCCACGGCGCATACCACACCCGGCTTTCGTGGATTTCTCCCTCTCCGGGATCATTTGCGTCTTTCTCGCGGTACGTGGACATGAACTTCACCAGTCTGGTGTACTCGTCGAGTTTCGTGTCCGACCGGGCAGACCGGCTGGAAAATCGGGAGGCACGGCGCGAGCCGGCATCGTGCTCGACGTCGCCGTTAGTAGACATACTGTGGGTGATGGCGTAGCCCCGTATGGGATTACTGGGAGGGAAAGAAAGAGAGAAAATATAGCGCGGAAGGTCCAACCAACTGCACCGGAACGGAGATCGGGGATTAAGGAGACAGGAACAGGGAATGTCAAGCAGTTTTGTACGCCCGCAGACGATATAAGCGGTCTTTAGTAAAACCTAACTGGGATTTTTGCTCATCCTGTTTTGCTGCTTGCTGTCCGGTCGGAAATCGGCAAGCTCGGAGATACGAAGCTGAAATACCTCATGACGTCGCGTGCTGCATGCTGCATGCTTACTGCAGGTGTCTCACTGGGTTGCACGCCTGAGCTGTAACTGTGTAATGTTTGGCCATTCCGAATTGAGTTAGGGATTGTCGTTAGCTGTATGTAGGAGTGGCTGTTATTGGGAGATGGTGTGAAGCTTGTAGCTGTCGCTCCACTTGCACATTGATGCCCAGGATCGCTGGCAATGACCCTCGGTCATTGCTTACAGTCCAAAGTGATCTGAAAGTACCTCAATGCGCTCTAAACGATATCTAAAATCCCATCATCTCACTTGATGCTACTACTTGCTGCTCAATGTGATGAGGCTCAAGATGGGTTAAAAATACCTCAGCGCGGTCCGAGGGTTGTCTACGAAGTATAACGCCCCGAAAGGTCAGATGAAGCTTTGTTGATGTCATGTTCGGCAAAAGGTACGAGTCAGTCGACGATCTGTGCGGAGGTCAAAAGCTTGATTGGTCCTGACCCACTCTGTCACAGGCCTGTGTTATCGCCACGTCCATCATTGCCCTTTGCACGCACGAAATGGATGGGAAGACGGGACGCAGATAGGGTCGAAGTAGACTACCAGGTTCTCCTTTCATCGACTACAACTGCAAAAAAATACAGGGTATCATGAAACGTAACATTGCTATAGAATAGAAAACTTCTTACCTTCAACACTCGCAATACATCGTCATGCGATAGCATGCAACTCTTTTGTTGTTCAAATTAACGATCTAGACCCAAATCCAAGCATGTCCTCCATCCATATCCGTGCCCCGTTTTCTCAGCCACGACCAGATCCCGCCATGCCGACGGACCGAACCCCTGCCAGTCCCAGCCAATACGACCCAGTCGGATATGCGGCATATGGGGTTCAGCTCCATGATAGGCCCCCAGACCTTCATCAGCTTTGCAAGAAACCGGTCTCAAGCTTCCGAGAAATCCGCGATTGCCCCACGGAATCCTCCCTGCCATATCCTCGCCAATCAACTACCCAAACCTTCAAGAAGCGCATGCTGACATCACTATAATAATCTATACTATTGGTTTTCGTTACCGGAATGCTTCGTGATATGAGAGCTATGACAAAATCACGCAGTCAAGGAACGGGAAGGTAATTCGGGTAGGTGAGGGATTTGCCTGATCATTAGGACTGGACTACTACATATTATCGCGGGATAGCCAAGGTATTCTTTGGGATAGACTAGATTGACTTTTACACCTTTAGGATAACAACAGGCAGCTTAAGCCCCTGTAGCTGCGGTCCATTCTCTGTTCTCTTAGTACACTTCCACCGTCTATAATTCTTGAACATAACAGTTTGGGACGTTAATACTTCTTCACCGTTCTAGCCATAAAATTGTGAGTACTACACGCCTCGTAGATACCATACAGAACTTCAAGCATAACAGCAGATCAGATCAAAGCAGACTTTATCGCGCAGCTTCCAACCTTTTCAACGATCTTCTTCCTCATTCGAACAAGAAGTTCACAATGCCCGCCATCAACTTTCCCCGATCGACCACAGTCCTGTCTCACAAAACCATCGGAAAGCGCAGCTGGGCTGGTGAAGAACCCGGTGTGATTCTGGATTTTGTCGTGGTCTTCATCGTGCTCTGTGGGATTTTGGGCCTTATCATCCAGAAAGCGTGGCGGAGTCGTCAGGCTGAGAGGGCGGAATGGGAGATAACGGAGATTAAGGATTAGTGGACAGTTGACGTTGTCGTTATACCCGTTTTTGAATGTGCGCTTGGCGTGAGCGCTGAAGATGGTATCTTGGAACTCTTAATTAATAGCTCGATCGATACGCCTGTGATAAGAACTGGATGTAGGGTATAATTCACTACTATTTGCGATCCCTAGGTCTGCAGGTGCGTTACTGTGTCGGGGCGGAGGTGAACCGCGTGTGGTCGAGATGATGTACATAGCAGGTCGCTCGCTGCGGTGATATCTTGTTCACCTATGCACTGAATAATTCCAATATATCCAGAGGTAATGATGTTTAGGAGTGATCTGTGGTCTTTCTATTTTTCATGATGATTATGATGCTTGTACCATTCTAATTTCGCCTATCTACCATGACATAGACTGCTTCCGTTGTACTCCAACCATAGCAAAGATGATCAGCTTGAGATTGTCTCATACCGTAGGAAATTCCCGACATACGTGTTAGATAGCATTACATAGCATCTGAGGAAAGAGCTCAGACCACCTTGTGTCTCATCAGGCTGAAGGCAAGCCACTACTTTGTAATTACCTTGTTGGCACTGCAAGTGTCGTTTGCGGAGACCTTTGACGAAGAGTAGCCATGGTGAATGTCTTTGACTGTTAGCGAGCAGCTATCTGATTTACAACTCAGCCTAACCTGTTTAGATTTCTTGACAAGTTCAACACATGGCGGCCATGTGCGGCGTACGTTCCACGTGCGAAAGCCGCTCGAGAGCCTGGAACCGGAATGGCCCCTTGATTGGCTTTGGCCAAGCAAGGATCTCCAATTACAGGGCGTAGGCAATGGCTGAAGTAGCAGGATTTGCGCATAAGCGTGGCTGGAGTACGCTTCCCATATGACCTACCACAATAACCCAGACACTGGAGAGCGTACAGGATAGAAGTGGAGCCAATCACAGCTCATTATATCTAGGAATTCTACACTCCCATGAAATTGTCAGTTGTTTTGTTGAATCATCTGATCGGCCAACCGGTCCGTAGCTATAGGGCGGAGGGTTAGATATCACACTCCGCTGCGATGGAGTCTCTGGTATGTCACCACAAGAGAACATGATCAATAAACGGAGTATAGAAAATATAAGCCACAAAACTTGATAGAAATGAAGAGTACAATCACCCTCAATCAACCAAGGCATAGCTAGGTATACAACCCCCCCAAGCCTACCCCTAATATAACCCCTCACACTCCCAGCTATTCGCCTCCCACAAACTCCCATTCCCGATATACATAGCCTGCTTCGGCCACGGACAAATCGGCCTCTACTTAACAACACAATCCCACTCATTCTCATCATGAAACTTAGTAGCAACCAAATAATCCGGCACCGTACCGTTCTCCACACATCCAATCATAGCCAACAACGAATCATGCTTCCCATCATCAAACCCCTTCCTCTCATGAAAATGATTCGCCAACCTTTCACTTCCAATACTCGACGCCTGCGACGAACCACAAATATACCACGGTGCCTCCATATTCGACGGCGTGCTTCCACAATGCTCCATTCCCGGGATCAAGTAGAACTTGTAGAGGTCATCCAGATCAATGCCCTTGCTTTGCAAAGTCCGTTGAACCTGCTTGTAGAAGTCGACGCTGCTGCCGGTGGCAATGGACGGGTCCGCGAGGCCGTGGTAGTGGATGAGTTTCGAGCCGCGGTTGTAGAAGGGTGAGAGGTCGAAGTTGTCTGCTGTGGCGTTGCCGGGGTTCATGGCGTCGGACAGTTTGACCAGGGATGGGTTCCAGTCAGCCCAGGTAAAGCTCGTGCAGAATATACTAACTATTTACGCATCCGTACCTGCCTAGACGCGGTCCGAATACGATTGTGATAAGTCTCTGTCGGACGTCGGATGTGGCTGTGGCGGCATCCCCCGATCTCCGGCTGCCGGCTTTTCCGTTGAAGGGTCCATCCGCCCACTGATCGCATCTTATCAGGGCTTTCAGGCGCCAACAACCGAGATATGAGCATTTTTGATGGCGTAAATAGGGCGGGTTAGAGGGCAGAGTGGAGAGGGCTACGCGGCCGCCTACTAGTTAGTCCCTGAGGGTCCAGTTAGGGTTGACGACCCTGACGATTATGTTCCAGTTTTCTTTTTCTTACGTCGATTGTGTCAATTTTACTGGATACAGGACGAGATATACGTGGACCGTGCATCTTTAGGAAAAATTAGGTGAAGACAAATGACCAGAAGAAAAAAAAAATAAGAAAAGATTGTTTCAACTCAGTACGCGTATGCAAAGTCCGCTATTGCCATGGGCTATAGACTGCAAGCTAAATAAGATATCTACCACTACCACGTAAGCTACTGAAGCTGATCTACTCTCACGCAGATTATCTCCCACAGTCCGACCCACCCGAGGTATCCTACCATTCGACATTCTGGCTGAACCAGCTCCGGATTAGATCAATTCGGGCAGTCTCTGCAACCTTTCCAGCTCCCCAAGAGTCGCCAAGCCACATAGTCGTTGCATTTCCCTTACTGGGTGGCCAATAGGTCAATCCTTCGCCATTAGGGTTGCCATTCTTGATGAAATCGACCCAGTAGCTTTGCATGACGTCCGCAATAGCATTTCAACGAGCCTGGTTTCATCAATTCTGGAATTAATACTCAGCCTTGAAGCCAGTTGATCATAAGCAGTAGTGCGGAGACCCGGACCTTTTACCCTTTCGGTAGACAGTATAGCCTGGAAAGTCGAGGGCTACGGAGTCGGTCGTGGTTCCCTTCCGACTTCCGCCTGCTCCAATTTATTTCCCTATCAATAACACGTGAGTATTCTGAGCAATGAACTAACTGGGCTTGGTAGTGTAGTAAGTGGGACCATTGGTGAGTATGGACGCGTTGTCTTTGACCATGATCAATCCACGGGATATTCAAGCTCTGTGAATAGGCCCAGCCCAAATGCATAGCGTTTACCTCACCGGACTTCGGAGGATATCAAAATTAAAAGGTCCTAATCTACATGAATTGAATGAAAATTCCAACTGAACCATGATGATAATCATGAGTGTCACGTAGAAATGTTAGCACTTGGGGGGCTTCGTGACAATTTGATCTTCTAGAAAAAGGCTGTCATTGTTCTCCTCGCTAACCAAGGATTGGGATGTTCGTAGCAGTCGTTTATTTACAGATCATTATCAGGTGAATCATTGGCATCGACCTTTAGACCGTTTAGGCCGGATGTAAGGAATTGCCGGCATCAATATGGGAATGGCACGCTCTCTTGCATCGACTCATCCAACCGCCACGGTTCGTCACCCACCTGTAATGGGAAAGCACTCTCACCGATATCCCCTTCTACTGGCTGCATCTGTCCCATATACAAGACTGGTGCATTCACAGCAGGGAAAGACCGTGACGCATCAACCCTTCCTGCGGCATCGTCTACATACCACGGTTCAGCATATGAGGGACCCGCCATGCCACTCCCGAGCGAGGGTAGTATGGCAGCTGAGCCTGGGCCACGGTGAGGGTCCAACATGGGGACACCCGACGCTGGTGGGGGAACTCCGCCGCGTAGATAGGTATGTGTATCAATCGGGCGAGCAATAATCCGTTTCTGGATCTGTTCAAACCACTCTCGATTCTTGATCGCAACAACGTGATACCATTTGCTCGGGACGCGGTACTTCTGCTCTCCACTCGCTCGTAATAGAGCTTGTCCGACGCGGTCCAGGTAGCCGTCAACGTCCATCATCTGGGAAGAGACCACCTCACCGAGAGGACCAAATTGGGCCGTGTGATATATCCGAAGTAGGGATGAGATGCCCAGGATCATTCGTGTGTAGGTCATGTTAGGTAGCTTGCGCATGGTAGAGGTGTCGCATTCTAAAAAGGCGTCTAGCATCTGGTGGGAGGCCAGCAGCCATTTCGTTATTATCTGGACCCGTGCAGCCGTTATAGGTGCGTTTGCTTTGTGTCTTTCCATGTCGCCTTCTAAGGGTGGGAGGGTGTAGTATTTGCGGGTTGGAGCGTCGGGGTCGCGGTAGCTTTCACCAGCGGCAAGTTCGTAGATGGCGAGGTACATGTGGTGATATTCCAGGTTCATCCATGCTGGGAATTATCGTATAAGCAGGATTCCATCTATGTGTTGATGCGACTTACTTGTGAGCATGTTTTTCGGAGTCGTCCTCTTCCATTGAAGCATCCGAGAATCGAACCAATTCAGGATTGGAAGCATCTGCGACTCACGAAGGGAAATATCCACTAGGGTATTGTCCTGGCCCAGTGAGGACAGTGTATCGTCAACGATCCGCTGAAGGCCAAACCATGTTGCTATTTGCTGATCTAGGCCGATTGTAGATTCTCTCAGGTGGTGTATGTACCCGTCTATCACATCGTTGAAGCGGAGCATATTCGGTCGATGCGTTCGAATCCCTATGCTACGGCTAGGTCAGTCGTGTAACAACTACGTGATAATCATAGAGTCCATACTTGGACGCGAAGTGATAGCAGCCCAGTACGGCGCGCGCCTGGGCACTATGGATGGAAGCTGGTAAATCACCATATCCGCCATGACAACGGTAATTTTTCCGTCCCGCCGGTCCAGCTGCTATACCAAGCTCTAGAGTCATGGTGGTCGCAATGTGCGTGTATTGGTAATATTGACCCTGTAAACGTGACTTTGGGGGGAAGTAAAAGATAAGCATCAAGAGGATTGATTGAATCAGCTCCACTGACTTTTCCTGTCTGAGGAAAAATCGTTCTGCAAATATCTTTAGCATCTCCTCATTCAGAGTCTCCGCGAGGTGAGGATTTAAGGTCATTGAGGAAGCAGCTAGAATAGACAGGAAAAGCACCGGGCTCGTTCTGCGCAATGATTCCGCAGTTGTGTTTGATGGCAACACGACCATTGGGTAGAATTGCATCTGTTCGTTGATAAAGAATGAGACCAACGTTTGCGCCATGTCAAGCGATACGATGCCGCGATCAACCACGTCCCCAGAGCCAGCTGGCGACTGCATCAGGGTCAGGCTACTGTTGGCGGGAGCAGGCTCGGCAGGAGGATTCCCAGCATGCTGATCTGAGTCACCCTGAGCAGAGGCATTGTGGACAATAGGGGGCTCCATGCGCGTGGATGATGAGAGGGCGGGCAAGGACGCTACGTCGCGGCCAGACGCCCCCGGAGGATCAGTAGCTGCGGCCGCGGCCGCGGCATCATCTGCCCTTCCCCCGCGGTCTGAATCCGGTCGGATCTGGTCATGTAACAGGAAGCGCAAATCCCGCACGTCTCTTTCCAACTGGGCCACTCGAGAGCCAGTCTTCTTCCGTGGCTGTCGTCGGAGCGTGCGGGCAAACACGCAGGTTCTTCTCGTGCGGGTACAGCGCTGACACTGGCGCGGGACGTTGGGATCCGGCAGACAGCGTACTTTGAGCGCCCTACAACTCTCGCACGACTGATTTAGCGGGGGCAGGGAGTTTGGTAGATTGAGGGAGCGATAGCTAGAGGGCATAGAGGCCGACATTGTGCGTGTCAAGGGTGTAATTCATGAAGAAGCAATGGTCTGGAGGAATATTTAGGAGGGATTGCGTTGCGCCAAGCCCGGTAGTGGAGGATTGAGATGGACTCGGATTCCAAGCCGCGTTTGTTGGTTGGGGGACCCGCTTGATGAGGATCGTCAGTCACCCTTGGCCCCATTTTGATAAGACAGATCAATTGCTCCAAAGATTAGATGGAAGTTTCACAGCACGGGTACCATCGAAGAGAAAATAGGTTACGTTGGCAGATATATACTAAATCAGGGACCAAAACGAGACTATATTCTTCAGGACAAATGTGACTTGCAAAAGGTGGAACCTTTTCGACGGTCGGAAGTCGGACGTCGGAGATACCGTTGAATCCCGAAAACCAGCTATTCCCAAAATGGATTAGGCGTGTCACGGCTCTTCCGATCCCCTGTTTTGTTGTGTACTTCTGGCTCTTCCCTGCCGAGGTTGAGCATCTACGAGCTCTATGTAGTTCAATAAGAGGTTATAGTTATCTATAATGTGGCATAACTGCCATACTCTCATATTCTATCATCGCAATAACATGCAGCTTTACCAGTTATACAGTTTAGTGGGGTTGGACACCATTATCGCCTGCCACTCCTCTGCACTGACCCAGGACCGCAAGCTCTTCAGCCATTCCGCGTCATCGATGGCCAGATATGGTGTTTCCGTCAGTGCCTCTTCACGTGTACGAACCTTCATATGCGGGGTATGAGGCCTAACTTGAGCATTAGCAGCGAACCATGACAGTGCTTATTTGAGAATCCTCACCAGTCGCTCCCCCAAAGGATCTGTTGCGGGTTGGCATCCACATAAGCGCGCACCAGAGGCTTCACGTCTGCATACCGCGGAGCTTCATGACTTACGCGGTATGGGGCGCTAAGTTTCACGTATAGAAGTCCAGAACGGACCAGATCCATGATCTCCGTAAACCCGGGCTGACGAGTGATATCACCCTCGTACTCTGCAGGCAACATACTAGCGGCCTTGAGCAATGCAAAGTGATCAGTGACCAGATGCAGGCTAGAGGATCCCATCTCCTCCTCGATGATAGGCTTCAACTCTCCCCAGAACTCGGGATGCACGTGAGTGAATGCTATACTCCATCCGGGACAGTGTGGCTTGATAGCTCTAATGTGGGCACGCAAAGCTTGTTTCTGCCGTTCCACATCGTGCATTGCCTGGTATTGGTACAAGTTGACTCGGATACCTCGGATACCCTTTGCTTGCATTTCTTGGAGCTCCTCTGGTGTTATTGTCTCTGGGTTAATGACTCCAATGCCCCTCGTTCCCGACTCCCCTAGTTCGCGGACAAATGTTTTGAGAGATGTACAGTCTGACCCGTATGATAAACCGTGCGTGAGAACCGAGTTGGTGATCCCAATCTTGTTTTTAAATGCGAGAAATTGCTCGACGGTCGCGGGTGGCGGAGTGAGATGTCTGTCAGGGGCGTAGGCGAATTTCGCCGCTACACATACGATCGCATCAGTATGATGTTACTTAATAGAGTGTTTAGCTTATGAGTGGAGTCCAGAATCATACGCTCGAAAATGTGGTGGTGGACGTCCCAGCCACCATTTGGAAACAGCACCGGTTCCGGGCATGGTTGGTGTTCGACGGTCATGATGGGCTTCGGAAGAGTTTAGCAAATCTGATACCTTCGAGAAACATCGAGGGAACAAATACATTGGTAGGGACCTGGGAGCTGCACTTTATTTCATATTTGTAAGTCTGATCGGCTCGCCTTGTCTGTATACGGATCCATTTCGGGATCGCGGGTTACTCCGGGTCCCAACGGCAGCCGGAGCGACCCTGTCCATGTACTTGGGGTCTCATGCAACACGACATACAATCTCCCCTCAATGCCATGTTGGTTGTGATCTGCAATCTTGTCTTGATAAAGACTTGTCTTGTGATAATTGGACGAGAAATTGGCCTCCCCGATCCTCCTGGCTGTAGTATCTTCCGGTTTAGTATTAGCACCGTGAGAATATGGTACTATCTGCGGTTAGGTCTCATCTGCAGATGATATGCAGCGCTGGAGGCCGTCGGACATGCGTTTCAGGAACATATATACTCATGTCAATCTGGTGAATCGGAAAGTGGCGCCTGCTACAGTAAGCTAGAGAATATCATCATTTCTGCAGCTGAAGGCTCCAAACTTGTCACATCCCCCTATGAAGTCCCTACTATATTGAAGGCTACGAATTGGCAAGTCTGCATATTGCTGTACTCTGCATATGACCCTAAATTATGGATCATGCATTGTCCATATGTCAGTTTTTATATCTGCACTTAAAGAGATCGTCACTGATACTCTCAACATGCCCCGAGGATGCATCGATGCTGAGCCCGCAGAGTGGCGACATTGGTACAGTTTCAACGTTGAGATGTCATCAATTCCTCTCTGAGTTAAACATGTTGAATGTTATAATCATTATAGCATTGCTGCTGTATACTAGGTTTATTCTCGATATTTCTTTTCATTACTTATCCAAACTTTTGATCAGCTCACCTGGCAGGTTCATACTATCCACTAACAGTACTCGATATATGTAGTTTCGCATAAAGGAAATGACTAGGCACTAGAAACTTGACGGCGATATCAGTCAAGAAAGGAGAAGCAAGCAAAACATACATCGTGGTTATTAGTATCGCAAATTGAAGTTATAAAGGGTTTGCAAGGGGGGAAGAAGAGAAAAGAAGCAGGAACCAAAACGGTTGTGGAGTAAATCATGTGCCGACGACCGAGTCCAAAGTCACCCGCCGCCCCCGGCATTCCGCTTTCCCCCACAAATCCGGCCGGTCGCATGTTGCCGTTGCGCTGGTTCATCGAGCTTTTGCACACATCATCTCGCAAATCTCCAAGATGAGTCCCCGAGACATAGAGCGCCCGGGGTCTCCTGCTCCGAAGAAAGTCCGGATCGCCTGTCGTCGGTGTCGAGCTAAACGCGTCAAGGTTGGCCCACATTCATGTTCATGTTGCCAAGCTTGTGACTGTGCATCTTTGCTAATTACCTGCCCCGGAGTGTGACGGCCGCATCCCCGCATGTAGCAATTGCTCGCGAGCGAGGGTCCCTTGTATCGATGTTGATGGTCGGAACCGTGATATTTCGATTCCTCGCGAGTAAGATCTCCTCCACCCGTGGCTTCTGTGCCCTCAGCCGCACTAATTGTCCTGTGATGTCCCAGTTTCATCGCGCAATGCCGTGCCAGACTCACATGGCTCGAACAACAGATCAAACTTTTGGACCCGGACTTCGATCTGACCAAAGGGCCATCCGTGAATATGGGTGAGAATGAATTGACATTGCCGTCTAGCTCGGGGGTTTCCGATTGTGGCAATGCTGTCACTACTATGCTGGAGACTGAGACACAGAGTCGCGACAAGCCAGCCACAAGAAAACGACCGTACAACTTAGTCGAGGACCCAGAACCTGACCAGACCCCACGTGCAGAAGCATCATCTGTGGCAAATGCATTTGGGATGCTGTCCCTACATTCAGATTCCCGACAACAGCACTACATGGGTTCTTCCTCAGGACTGCTGTTCACGAAGCTGATTGGAGTGGATAGAGATACACAGGTATCCAGCCCATCATCCAATAGTGAAACTAGCAAGTATGGGAGGCATTCAATCTCTCAAGCCTTGAAGCAAGGCTATCGCTCTCTGTACCAGAGCTTGACAAGGGTCTGTCGCTCCCCTCGGTTTCCGGTCACGTTTCTCATCATATATTTAGGAACTCCCTCCCCCCGAGGAAGCTGAAATCTTATTTGCGGTCTACTTCCAGCATATACATATTGACTACCCCGTTCTTCATGCGCCTTCGCTAGTCAATGCGTATTTGGCATTGTATGAGAGCACACAGATGGAACCCACGGGCCAATACGATAGCAACGGGTGGATGGAAGGCCTGGAACCCTTCGAGTACAATGGCATGGCTGATCATGAAAGCGGCAAACCGTCTACGCCGATATCAGTATTTACAGCCGTGTTTCATGTCTTCATGGTCTTCTCTCTGGCAGCGACCGTACTAACGCGCAAGAAGAGCTTTGATTACTCTCCGACAAAATTCTACAGAATGGCCTTAGCAGAAACATCCAGTTGCTTCTCCTCTGTGTCAGTGACATCTCTGCAGGGTATATTACTCTTGGCGATTCATAGCATGATCTGCCCGGCTGGCCTCAATATTTGGACACTGGCACATATAGCAATGTCGCATTGCATTGACTTGGGCCTTCATCGAGAACCTAGCCCGTCTACAGGCATTTCCAGAACGTCTCTGGCTGTCAAGAGACTGATATTTTATACAACATACTCCCTTGATCGGTAGGGAATCATCCATGTTCCCCGATGCGCTTGAGCCTAACAACGTCATAGAACAATAGCCACCATCCAAGGCCGTCCTTTAGGTATTAGGGATGAAACCTTTGATATGCAACGTCCCGAAGTAGAAGATGTCACTGAAGAATTGTCTATGATTGGAAATTGCAAACTCCATGTTTCAGCGCCATCGTCCGCCCATATGACAATGTCCATTCGTCGTTTCAGACTGGATCAGTACATAACTGAGATAAAGCTCCTTTTCTATCATTTACCCAAACAGCTTCGCCCGCTCGTGTGGCCGAATGACCTTGAAAATCATCAGGCACAGATCAAGCTTGACCTTGACGCATGGTTAACCGAGACATCTCTCATACAACCGCCGACTGACCGAGAAGAGGACAGAAAAAGCGTTGAGCATGAGAAACTCAGGTTGGAGATTTTGTACCACTCAGCAGTGACGCTCCTTTTTCAACCTTCCCAAGCATTCCGTTCGCCATCGCCAAGTGCTTTAAAACAGTGCTATCAAAGTTGCAGTCGAAAGCTACGCATATACGATCATCTCAGTTCAGAGGAACAGCTATTATACAACTGGCGAAACATTCACGGTATATTTTCCTCAGGCGCGACACTGATCTACTGCATCTGGGCATCGCCCTCTCTTCAGGCCACCACCCCGTTCGCGGAGGTATTGAGGGATCTGCGGATCTGCTCCAACCTCCTCAGTATCGGTGGTCAGTGGTGGCCTTCTGTACGTAATGGCAAGGGAAGCTTCGACAAGATGGTCGACCTTACTATACGGCAGTTAAGTCGTACTCAGACCTCCCCATCAAAAATGCGGGGCTCACTACACACCCAACATGCTGAGATTGGCTGTCAACCTGATCTACACGATTCCAGTTTGGTTCCCGAATTTCCTAATAATTCGAGTATTCAACTAACGGAAGACTCATCCCGCCACCCTGAAGGGCTCGGTGGTCTCCCCAATGCAGGGTTTCATGACTCTACAGGTGAGTATTTTCGGCATAACTTACATCCACGGGCGTACTAATCACTTTGGGTGCTAATGTCTCTGCTTGTTTAGGAGACAATTTGGATCTTGGTTTCGGAGAACCTGGATTGTTGTTTCCCAACCCGAATGGCATGGATGTTACTGACACATATTCCATTGACTCTGCGATGGAGAGCTTTCTCGCCGAATTTATCCGCGGAGACTGGGGCTGGGACCCATTCTCAGGCACAGCGGCCTTGTGAAAGCACACCAGTCTGTTATCACCGTTACCCCCATCACAAGGCCTTTGTCGATCGGAGCCGACAGACTATATAAAACGAATACCACAGTGTGTCTCATATACTATACATTCCGATACAATCCATAGAGGCACCAGTGTTTACTTCAAGGCTATTCACAAGTCTGCGAGAAGGACAATACAGTCCCTCAAAACAAGCTGGATCTCACGGCTAGCTTATTTCCTCAACCTCTTGATAGTGCTCCCTATTTCATCACCCTGTTCCAAACAACGCCGTGTCTCCTCATCAATATCAAAGCGTTCCTGGCAAAGGCGCACGCACTCTTCTGCCTTTTCAGGCGGAACGACAACCACCCCATCCGCATCTCCAAGGATATAATCACCAGGATTAATAACAACCTGCCCCCCATTCTCTGAGTTCTCATAAGTAACTGGTACATCCAATTCAGAAGAACGAGTGAAAGAGTTGGATCCCAAAATGCTAATGCCGCGCGCAAACAGGGTCATTCCCAGCTCCCGGTGTTCATTGATATCGCGAAATTTGCCATCAATAATAACTCCGGCAGCACCACGTTTCTGAGCCCGAGTGCTCATGAGTCCTCCCCAACAAGCACTGATCAAGCCTCTCGGTTGTGACACAAATACAACGCTGTCTTTGGGGATGGCATCGGCGAAATGAACCTTAGGCGTTGGCGAAACCTTGTCCGAGGCATGCACCATTTTCACTGTGTATGCCGGGCCGAGGAACTTTGCTGTGGGTGACATGAAATCCGGAGAGTACATTTTGAGACCGGATAAATAGCCGCCCTGAGGGACTCCGAGCTTGACGAGGGCGTCGCCGACCTGAAGGGATTGGTTGAGCTCAAGCCAGAGTCGTGCTGAACGGTATAACTTACATCACAAGAGGTGAAACGCCGCAACGCGCTGAGGACGTTTGGTCTGACAGCCATAGCTACTTGTTCACGATTGATTCGATAGTACGGGGTTGCAAAAGGGCAAGACGGTGGCCCCAGAAGGTAGATGGTAGTGGTCCAGCTTACAAAAGCGGGAAGACAATCGGGCCATCCGACGGGCCATCCCGCATTCTGGAGTAGCCCGGGGCAGATGCTCTTAGACATTGTTCGGATAGCTCCGAAGCCGGATCCGGAGTAGTCCCGCCCTTTTGCCTCGGCCGGAGACAGAGCTTGACCTACGCAATCTGCGATCAAATTCGAGGATATCCTTTGTAACTTCCTCTTCCTCAATGGCTGATACTCGTATCTTGATTCTCAAGTCAGCACAATGCAGCGATGTCGCCAGAGCTTACCGATGCTAAAAGCATCATACCGACCGCTCTCTCTGAACGGAGCCCGGAACTATGCGACAACCGTTTCAGGTAACCCAGTCAGTGCGCCTCAATCTCAACCCAGAGTAGTTGACGCTAATATTGGTCATTGGACAGATTCTGGGTGTTCATTACCCCAAACAGATTCGTGCCATCGAAGCGATTAAGCAGGGATCAAATCGCCCGCTCACACTAGCCGAAAAGACCCTATACAGTCATTTACTGGACACGGATAGCGGTCGCTGGAATATTGATAAGATTGCCCGGGGAAAGACCATTTTGGAGCTGCGCCCCGACCGAGTCGCCTGCCATGATGCGACCGCAACAATGGCCTTGCTGCAGTTTATCAGCGCAGGCCTTCCGCGCGTACAGGTACCGACAACAGTGCACAGCGATCATCTGATAATCTCGGAGAACGGCGCGGAAAAGGATATGCAGCGTGCGACCACAGAACATGCAGAGGTATATGACTTCTTGAGTAGCGCTTCGAAGAAGTACGGGATCGGCTTCTGGAAACCTGGATCTGGAATCATCCATACTGTCATCTTCGAGAACTATGCGATGTATGTCTACCACATGAGCCCCGCAATTACCATGACTGACGTTTTTGGAATTTAGGCCAGGAGGTTTGATCATTGGAACGGATTCCCATACCCCCAATGCAGGTGGAATGGGCATGCTTGGAATTGGCGTTGGCGGAGCTGATGCTGTCGACGCTATGTCGGGAATGGCTTGGGAGCTGGTCGCGCCCAAAGTAATTGGAGTCGAACTTACGGGTGAGCTCCAAGGCTGGGCATCAACAAAAGACATCATCTGCAAATTGGCCGGAATACTCGGCGTGTCTGGCGGGAAAGGTCGCATCATTGAATTCTTCGGTCCGGGTACGGAGACTCTGGGCGCGACAGCTATGGCCACCATTTGCAACATGTCTGCGGAAATTGGTTCGACTTCTTGTATATTCCCTTACTCGGATGCGATCGCTCGCTATTTGAGTGCCACCGCCCGCGGTCATGTTGTGAGAGCAGCAAACCCAGTCAAAGACCTTCTGCTCACCGCCGATAAGGGCTCCGAGGAGTACTACGACGAAATCATCAAGATCGATTTGAACACTCTGGAGCCGCATGTCAACGGCCCATTCACACCGGATCTCGCCCACCCCATTTCAAAGCTGGCTACTGCGGTCGCTGAGAGTGATTGGCCAATGAATTTAAGTCACGCCATGGTGGGTAGCTGTACCAACAGTTCCTATGAGGATTTGGACAAGGCCCGGCAGCTGGTCAATCAAGCCCGGGCGGCCGGAATAACCAAGTTCAAAACTCCTTTCTTGGTCTCGCCGGGCAGCGAAAGAATCCGGGCCACCGCTGAAGAGGCTGGTATCCTGAAGGATCTCGAAGACGCCGGTGCTATGGTTCTGAGCAGCTCGTGCGGACCATGTGTCGGGTCATGGGACCGTAAGGACGTGGATGTCCGCGGAAAAGAGAAAAACTCTGTGATCTCCAGCTACAACCGTAACTTTGTGGGGCGCCATGACAGCAACCCGGCTACTCACTCATTTGTCACGTCGCCGGAGCTGGTCACGGCCTTTGCTTATGCTGGCCGCCTGGACTTTAACCCTGTCACCGACAGTATCTCAGCGGAAGGATCCCAGCCACTGCGGCTTACACCTCCCGTAGGCCAGGAATTGCCAGAATCATTCAATCCTGGTGCAGATCGCTTCCAAGAGCCCCCGTCAGATGGCTCCTCTTACTCGGTTATCATCGATGAGAAGTCCGACAGACTACAGCTCTTGGAGCCCTTCCCAGCTTGGAAGAGCGGAAGTGCTACCGACATGGAGTTGCTGATGAAGGTCAAGGGCAAGTGTACGACGGACCATATTTCACCGGCTGGTCCGTGGTACAAGTATCGTGGCCATCTGGAGAACATTAGCCACAACATGCTCACAACCGCAACCAATGCATTCTTAGACAACGACCCGCAGATGCTAGGTCACACGAGACATCCGCTGACGAACGAGGTCCAGCTTACTCATGAAGTGGCCCGGGACTTGAAGCACCACTCCATTCGTTGGTGCGTGGTCGGAGATAACAACTACGGTGAGGGCAGTTCGCGTGAGCACGCCGCACTGGAGCCTCGCTTCCTCGGTGGCGTTGCCATCATCGCCCGGTCTTTCGCTCGTATTCACGAGACGAACTTGAAGAAACAGGGAATGCTCCCACTTACATTCGCTGATCCTGCTGACTACGACCGAGTGCAAGAGGGAGATCGCATCACTCTGATTGGTGTAGAAGATGGAGAGCTGCAACCGGGCAAGAATGTTACCATGCGGGTTACTCCGCGCCGTGGAGACAGCTGGGAGGCTGAGTTGTGCCACAGCTATCATGCCGGACAGCTCCCGTGGCTTCGGGCTGGCAGTGCCTTGAATCATATTAAGACTACGGTACATAGCTGATGATTATTTATCACAGAAGTAAATGAATCAAATGTATAGAAAGCTTGTATACATAAATGGCAATTTCTTTCTTTGGACTAACCATCTCGCTGAACGGACTTCATAATAGCCAATTTAGAAGGCTCTCAGACGCACTCTACTTGAGTAGGAATGATCGCAAAGTACATTCGGCAATATGTTGAGCTCAAATATCAGCCGCCTATATAAATGCCGTATCTTCCGGCCTTAGATGTTATCCCCGAGGTTCCACAAGAACATCATCACGGCAAAAGCGCCGCCCTCATTGGTGGTACCACAAAGCCATCATGTCAGTGCGCAGGGAATGGTTCTCATGGACAGCTCCGGCCAGCCGGAGTAACCCAAGAGATACCCCGGATAGGATCCGCATACCCCAGACTTGGCTGGCAGCGGATGACATCCGGCCAAATTGGATTGGCTGCTACCCCCCAAACCTGCAGATGTGGACTGATCATGAGTTTGGTTGCGTCGGCCGTGATATCCTGGGGTATTTAGTAGATCCCTTTGCCTGAGTTGCCAATTGCATGTTGACAGCCCATTTTTGGTAACTTGGGATCTCTCTCTGTCGAAAAATACCCCCGAACTCATACCCTTAGTTCAGCATGGGAGCAGCAGGCGGCGGGTTTTCCCCCCAAGCCATCAAACAGGTGCCTCCTGCGGCTCGCGGACTATACATCTGGCTGGCCATCATTTGGGCGTCGTATTGCGGTGGTCTGCATGGCTTCAACACGTCCAATATATCGGGTGCTATGCAAATGGAGCAATGGGATCCAGATTTTGGCTGGGATAAACTTTCCAGCACGGCTGTTTCGAATAATGAGGGCTGGGCGGTTTCCTCCATGCTGCTGGTATGTGATTCGACAGTATTACAAAGTGCACGAACTAAGCAAGTGCTATTATATACAGGGCCAAACCGTCGGAGTTTTGCTCGCAGGACCACTAGGCGAACGTCGCGGCCGAAAGGCAGTCATCCTCGCTGCCGCCATCTGCTATGCGATCGGAGCCGTTCTCATGGCCGCCAACCTGGGATCCTTTGCCGAACTCCTCGTCGGGCGTGTTCTTTCCGGATTAGGGTCTGGACTGGGAATGTCAGCAGGGCCAGTATACATCTCCGAAGTTGCACCCCTCGAGCTACGCGGAATGATGACCACCTTCTACAACGTGAGCATCATGAGCGGCGTCACAGGAAGTTACTGGATCAACTACGCCTCGTACCTAGTCATTCCCGACAGCTCCAGCTGGCAATGGCGTACCACACTCGTCTTACAATCCATCCCGGCCATCATCCTCTTCCTCGGATACCCCTTCTTCCCCGAAAGCCCTCGCT